GTGAAAGGCAGCAGCTAGTGTCCATGTAGCCCTGAAGAGAAAAATAATAAAAATAGTTGAGAGCCAAAGAGGGAATGGTAGCTTAAATTGGCTGGGGTGGGGTGGGAGAGAGAAAAAGGCTCTCCTAGTGTAGGTAAAAGGTAAAGGCCCCCTGGACTGTCAAGTCCAATCAAAGGTGACTATGGGGTTGCAGTGCTCATCTTGCTTTCAGGCCGAGGGAGCCAATGTTTGTCTACAGACAGCTTTCCGGGTCATGTGGCCAGCATGACTAAACCTCTTCTGGTGCAACGGGACACCGTGACGGAAACCAGAGTGCATGGAAACTCCGTTTACCTTCCTGCTGCAGCGGTACCTATTTTTCTACTTGCACTAGTGTTCTTTTGAACTGTTAGGTTGGCAGGAGTTGGGACAGAGCAACGGGCGCTCACTCCATCATGGGGATGCAAACCGACCTTCCAGTTGGCAAGCCCAAGAGGCTCAGTGGTTTAGACCACAGTGCCACCTGTGTCCCTTTCTCATAGTGTACCATGGGTCAGGGCACCTTGAAAAGAAGCATTGAGCAGCCTTCAGGATGCATCCCCCAAACTGAACACTCTGGGGCTGCGAGAGGAGCTCATTACAGGGGAAAGGGTTATCAGCAGGCCTTAGCCCAGTTTTCTACCGGTAGATTGGTGTCTAAAGACAGGCATAGGCAACGCTTTTTTGGTGACACTATAACCCTTAACAGCACTGGGCAAAGGTAACATGTTCATGAAAGCTCCAAAATGCCTGGAAATTATAGGTGTTAAAGCCCTCATCCTTAACAGATGTTATTTAGGGAACATTGATATGGCATGGTATCTTATCCTGTAGTCAGTTCCAGCTTCATCACTGCTTTAGCGCTCCATAGCTACCTTAAAGGTAAAGGATTCCTGGACAGTTAGAGCAGAGTCGTAGACCTAAGTTCCAGATAATTTTAAAGTTAATTCTTCATATCCAAACATGTAACATGTTTTATCAGATTAAATGGTGGGTTAGATGGACTTACACACTTGCCTTTTTAATTTAATTTTTAATGCAATCTGTATAATGGCTGTGGACTGCAAATGTCTCGACATCTTCCTGAATATAAATGGCAAGTTTTCTATACCTCCTACACACCGATAACTTCATTCACAACACATTGTTCAAGAGGTCCAGTCATCTTTCTGACACATCTTCATACTGTTTCTTTCAAAACCCAGGCAACGAGTGCATTTTGATTTAAAAAAATGAAACCAAGCAATACACACCCAATGAAAAATGCTTTAATTATCAACTTGTATTTTGAATAGAACCATGATAAAATAAGGACATCTTTGCTCAAAGGGGGTATTACCAGATAATAAAGATGATTCATATGGTTCTCCATTATCACCCTATGTGTTTGTGCGAGCAGATAAGTGTGTGTTCACTCAACAATGAATTCCATTAAGGCTTTCAGTATGATTCCTTTTGTAATATGTAACAAAACTTATGGGCAGTTTTATGTGTGACAATGTATTTCCACTTCTGGCTTTATAGTAGCATTAGGTTGCATTCTATAGGTGTTGTTATTATTAACAATTGAATTCTGAAGGCTGCATATTGTACCTGTAGTGGGAGTGGGGAATAATAAAAAAAAGACATACATTAGAGGAAAACAAGCAACAACTTTATTAAAGCAACTCAAGAGCCTGCTGTTTGGATGAAATGGGTCAGGGAATATACTGCTTGCTGTATCTAGTATCAATTCCTTGAATCATAGAATTGTAGAGTTGGAAAGGATCCCAAGAGTCATCTAATCCAGCACAGGATTACAGTGCAGGAATCTCAACTAAAGCATGCATGACAGATGGCCATCCAACCTCTGCTTAAGAACCTAAAATGAAAGAGAGTCCGTCACCTTCGGAGGGAGTCCGAAGACTTGTTGAACCAGTCTTACTATCAGAAGATTTTTCCTGATGCTTCATCAGAATCTGCATTCTTGTAACTTGAAGCCATTGGATCAAGTCCTACCCTCCGGAGCAGGAGAAAACAGACTTGCTCTCTCTTCCATGCGACAGCCCTTGAGATATTTGAAGATGGTTGTCATCTCTCATCTCACTCTCCTCTTATCCAGGTTAAACCTACCCAACTCCCTACACTGAATCCTTGCAAACTGATACAAGGACCACTTGAAACAATATTGAACAGATACTAACATACCCCAAATCATTTTAAGGACTGCTATGATGAACATGAAAAACCTGAGAACTTTCGCCAATAAGGAAAATGTAAAGGGAGCTAGATGGATGGGAGGATGTGATTCAACTTCTGGTAAGCTTCTTTTTTATGCAACCTAGAAAGGCACATTTGTGTCCCAGGACCACCTTTATCTTTTATTACACAGACAATGATAAAACCTAGACTTTGTCCTGCTTTGCTTTGCCTGACTTGGCTTGGCCAAACTCTTAACTTTTGCTATTAAGCTCCAGCTTGATCCACTGCTGTGTCCATCACATGGAATAGAACCATAGGTTGATTTGATTGCATTTAGTGATACCAGCATTTAGCCAAGTATTATTGGCTATGAAGTTTTGTGACATAATTCCTTCACTAGATGGTCCCATTTGGGTGGACTCACCTGCGTGATCGATGCAGGAGGCATTGACCACACTTGATTGATTTCACATGCTCTCACTCCAGGACATATTTCTGCACCCATCAAAACTGCTGCTTTTACTTTGAAAATAAAAATGAGCAATATTTTGTGAAGTTTTAGATTTAGACACACTGTCGGGAGCATCAACACACCTTTCCCTATTGTGCATACAAAATGGCCAAACATTCCACTGACCACAGTGCATCAGAATGTTCAATGTTATATGCAAATGATACTGCATGTTTTCGATGTGAATATTTTGTGTCATATACAGATAATATACTGCATGATATACTATGATTTATAGAGCTCTTTTAGTGGGGAGAAATCCTGCACTGTCACAAGTAAAGATGAATAATATCTTAGTCTCCATATATAAAATCATGGCTAACAATACAAAGACAACTGTGATCAGGAGCAGAGCTTTATAGCTGCTACATTTAAAGTAATCCAATTAAATAAAATTAATGAAATAACTTTTTGTTCTTTAATTGCCAGTCTGATTAATGTACATAATTAAACAGATTCAGGCTTTAGAAGCTAGAAAATCTTGACCTTCAGATCCCACCTACTTTATGATCAGAAATAAGTAAGTATGTTTATGTTCAACAACAGCAAATATCAACAAACTTCAAGGTTGTTTGCATTTTGTTTCAAGACATTGCCAAAGAAAATGGGGAGGAAACAGTGCATTAAAATGTTTTCTAGAAGTGAATCCTTGTGACAAATGCAAAGGTTAAAAAAGGAAAAAACATTTGATACTCTTGATGGTCCAACTGAGTACAGTATGTTTTGTAAGAGAAGTTGCCCTTTTATGGAAAAATTGTATCAATTTAAAGCTTAGTATATAAGAATAAGTTATTATGTTAACAATGCTGATAAACAATGTATCTAACCATGTTGGCTGTTCTTTTGCATTTTAGTTATTCAGTACATTTTTAAGGGTAAGGACTGCTTAAAAGGATTTGCTTTTGAAATGCTCCTAAGAATATGTCAGAGGACGGATGGTGGCAAAACTATGTCAGAGATAGACCATCACTATTATTATTTTTTTAAATCTAAAAGCAGCTGCAGAATTTGGTGAATATAGTTTCACAAAAAGAAGTGCATGGGTGCATCCACAATAAGTCTCCCCCACAATGGAACATAAAAGTACATTAAACAAGAATTTTAAATAGACTAATGAGAATTTTTTTCATGAATGCTCAAATGAAAGAATACACTGAGGACACTGAGCAGAACATTGTTTTAACATAAACCATAGAAATCTTTTTTAATGGTAATGCTATCATTACTATAATTTGACACACAGGGGAAAAACACATTAGTAGGAATGATTTAGAAGTTGCTTGTATTACATAACATTAGCACTCAGGTTACAAATCTGATGTATGAAGTGTTCTGAGTTTTACTCGTAGTTACACTATCCTATTTTAGAGCTGCATACTTATCCCATTGACTAGTATGAAACAATATTTTTTGTCCCACTTTGCCTATTGTATAGTAACTGAACAGCCATCACGTTCACATCTAACAAAAACTGAAAGATGACCATATTATAAACATAATTCAAAACAACAAAGCTAACCAGAGAAAATATTGTATGAATTGCATGCAAAACATAACAATCTCTGTGTGCTTTTTAAAAGAATATTTATATTCTGCCTTTCAGCAAAAGTATTTATCCTTTCTATGTCTAACTACTGAGTGCTGGGTGGCTTCAGATGGGTGTTTATTGTGGGAATGATGTTCTTCATGAATACAAGGTTTTTGTTTTCGCATTACCCACATGATGCTTTTGGCATTAAAAATGCCAGCTTGTAACCCAACCCACCCACTCCATTTCAATTTGGATTTACCCAGTATAGGAAAAACCCAGTAAATAAAAAAAATGTATGTTGCCAACAAACCATTTGTGATATCTCAGTGACTCATTGCAAATTAAGCTTCCCATCTGGAACTACCCATACTAAGTTCAACACAGATTTGATTCAGCTAAAGTTGGGCTGTGCTGAACCTCCTCCCCCTATGATCCGTGGGGCCTAGAGCCAAATTATGTGTGATGTGGGAGACCTGCAGTCAGATCTCCCAGTGTTACTCACACTTGATAGTTGTGTAGTAGGAATTTCAGCAGGTTTCAATAGGAATACAAGCTACACTTGCTGAGATTCCATCTTCTGCAGAGGCATTAAAGAACTTTGTCCCTTTTTGTATCTGGCTACCTTACACATGGGTGGCCAGTTTGCTTAGGCACTTGAATCGGGCAAAAGGAGTGGGGGGGTTGTTTAATTCTTTTCCCCTTGCTGTGCCATCTCTGAAATCTAAATTTTATTATTGGAACTGCTGTTATCCTCACAGGATGGATGAGGGAGGAAATAAAGGTACAGCAAACTCATAGCTGCATTTCAGAAAAAAAGAAGACAAACTCTTGGGAGATATGATCACAACATGTGGGCTCCCAAAGGGGAGATCATGGATGTTCTGCTCCTCCCTAAGCATTTTGATGCTGCTCTGCTCTGTGGTTTGACTTAACCATGGTTTAGCTCCTCCAGGCAGACCATGAGTTGCAAATCACACAGCTTGTCATTTGTCTGAAGTGTGGTAAACCACAAGTTCACATTCAGATGACATACCCAGCTATGGCTTTGCTCAGGATAGCAACCCATTGATCAGAGAGAACAAAGTGGCTGGAGGAACCCATTCATGCTAAGCCATGGTTTGGCTTAATCTTGTCACATGTGTACTTGGGGCCAGTAACTTGGTGGAAAATTTGTAGAAATGTCCTATCTCATTGGTGTTGTATGATATGCATTGCATGTAATGCCGACAGTGTTTAATTTCTAAAATGAGAAAGATCAGTGCTTAAGATGGCCCGAAAGTCATGTACTGGTGGGGGAATGAGAAGCAGCAACTTATTTATGTAGTGAATGAAAAATAGAGTTGAATTGTGCCTCTGGATTACAAATTATAAATACAGTGTAGCCCATTTTGTTTGGAAGGAGGAGGTTAGGAGTAGTGTTATCACAACACTTTCTCTTTTTTTGCAGTGGAGGCGGGCTGTGAAGTTGATGATCTCAGCTGTACAATTAATTAAGGGCTGGAGGGAGTGATGGAAACCAGGGAAAGAAATCAGAGTTTCATCTGTGGGTGGAAAAATGACATCCAGATGTTGGGTCTATCTGTAAATGGACAGCAAATCTACCCATTGAGAAACAATGGAGCGATAGACCTGGAAAACTGGTTTCTCATAGGCCAGCTTTGTTGTTTAGTCGTTTAGTCATGTCCGACTCTTCGTGACCCCATGGACCAGAGCATGCCAAGCACTCCTGTCTTCCACTGTCTCCCGCAGTTTGGTCAAACTCATGCTGGTAGCTTCGATAACACTGTCCAACAATCTCGTCCTCTGCCGTCCTCTTCTCCTTGTGCCCTCAATCTTTCCCAACATCAGGGTCTTTTCCAGGGAGTCTTCTCTTTTCATGAGAATTCAAAAGCATCAATTCTTCGGCGATCAGCCTTCTTTATGGTCCAGCTCTCACTTCCATACATCACTACTGGGAAAACCATAGCTTGAACTATACGGACCTTTGGCTGGTTCTAGTTATTGGTGGTCCATGCATGAGATGAGGTGAAGCCATTTGCCTAAGGTGGCAGATTAAACCTCTTCCTCCTAATATAGTGCATCCCAGTGGGGCTTGTTGTAAGCAAGCCCTGCTTACAGAGGAACAACCAGGAGCTCACTTTAAGCCCCCAGCTGTACATTTGTAGCCATGTTTTTCCCTGCCACACACCTTAGGTCCCATATGATGTCAGGTGGTCATGGCTTGTGGCAAACTGCTGTGCAGGCCAAACTGGACCCGTAATGGGACTAATTTGGTCTGCAGGCTGGAGTTGCTCACTTCTCTGTTAGAGCAATGAAATGAGCAAAGGTTTGCCCATCCTGAGTCTTTATAAAGAAAGGAAGACTTGACCATGGGAAGCTTTGCCCGTTCAACCCAGTTAAATCACACCACGGCTGCAAAAACAAGTTTGCTTCTGCTGCCCTGGTGCATTTGGTTTGCGATCCTCACTGTGTTTACTTAAGCAGCAAGCCCCATGGAATATGATGGGGCTTACTCCCATGTAAGGGAGGTTTCCAGCCTTACTTGGGCATAAGCACAAAGGACATTTATAAAGGAACGAAATGAGCATCTGTCTCCCCGGCCAGCCTCCCCCTGACTATAAACATGTATTTTAAAAAAACAGAAAGGATGCTGCGATGACCCCCGTTCGCCCTCGTGGGCTCGGGCATGGCAGCCCAGGTCCTCTGCTGCCCCCGTTGCCAGCCGCTCTCTGGGCGGCCATTCGGGGGCGAGCTGCCCCCCACTGCCATCTTTCTTCCCCCTCGCGCGTGTCAGGAGGCGCTGCTTCGCTTATCGCTCGCTCTTTGCTGCCGACGCGAGGGAAAGGCAGCAGGCAGCAAGTGGCCGGCCATCGGCCATCTCCTCTCACGAGGCTCTCCGGGGATGCTCCTTTTCTGAGGCGAATTACCCGGCGGGAAGCCGGTGTGGGCATCCGCCGACTCGCCCCGAGACCCCTCCAGCTGTGGCGCTTCCCACCCGCTCCCGCGCTCCTTCGCCCAGCCGGCTTGCTCCTTTTCGCCTCGGCGTGTGCGCGCGCGCCCGCCTTTTCCCCTCAGTCCCAGCCGGGCTGCTTTTCTCCCCCCCCCCGCCTCACCGCCCCGCTTTCCCTCCCTCCAGGCGCATGGCTGGCTGAGGGCGGCTCGGTGGGCGCGCAGGGACAGCCTCCCGCAGGATGAAGAAGAGCTCGGCTGGTGGCAGGAGAGAGGAGAAGCTGCTCGCAGCCCAAGCCCAGCCCGGGAGCGGTAAGTTCGCGAGGGGAGCCTCGGCGCCCGCCCTCGTCCATATTCCTCTCAGGTTTGGGGGGGGGAGAGAGAAAGGGGACGACAATCCCCACGCACTTCTCCCTCACGGAGACGAGACGGAACCTGCCCTCTGGGGCTTAAAAGGCGGGAAGCGGGACGGCGGGGAATCTGCGCGGCGGTCTTCCCGCTGCCTTGAGGCGCCTCTCGCGAAGGCGGCAAAAATAGGCGCGAAAACGGGAGGGGGTGGGCGGAGGAGGGGGGGGGGAAAGGCCCGGTTGAGATGAATGGCGACGCTGGGCAGATGGAAGTTTCCAAATTAAGAAGCGCGTCTTGGAATTGTTGTGGGAACAATTCGGCGTTCCTTGCAAGAATGGTGGAGGGGGCTCGGCGCGGTGCTGTGGGTCTGGGGTCCTTGGGAAGAAGGACTGCGCCTCCTCAGAGACGCGCCAGAGCCCCCTCGCCTGCTCTGCTCCACGACGCCTGGGACTTGGGCGAATATTTGCCCCGAGCTTTCCCGCCCTGTGACTCTCTGCTGGTGGGACCTGCTGGTGCGCGAAGGGCTCCTGAACTGTTTTGTTTCTCCTGATGGCTTTTCTTTCTAGTTCTTGCCAAAGGACGAAACTCTCTTTTCCCTGCTCGCTCTCTGCCTCCCGTGCATTTAAGCTGAAGGACCTTTGATTTGGTTGTACTGTGTGTCTCCGCTGATGTAGCGAATGCATCCTTAAGCTCAGATGGGAAAGGGCTGCAGCTGAAACCTCCCAAACTCACCCTCTGAACTGGATCCAGCCTTTCCACTGAATCTCAGTGCAGTGCCCTTCTATCTGTGCTCCGAGGCATTGGGTTGTTGCTGTTGTTTAATTCGTATGAGGAGTCCTGGCACTGGAAACAGGTACCCGAGACTGAGAACTCTGGTGAGCAATGGCTAAAATAAGTTGAGCCAGTGATTTGTTATAAAAGCACTTAGGAATGCCAATAAATCTCAAAGGGAGCGCTCCAAACCTTACTGGCTAGCACGTTCAGGAGCTTCAATGCTTGGAAAGCATTTTTAAAATAATACATTTTCCCCCCCTGTGGGCGGAAGAGAGAGGTGTGTTTTGTTGGCTTATCTGGTGAGAATTCTGCAGAACCTGGAGCAAGAGAAAAACAGTTTGTTCTGATTTCAGATCCTAGTGTTTGTTGATAGGTGAGCTATAGTTAGTACAGTCGGAGCAAAGGATGCATATTATTTTTTACTAATAAAAGCTTTCCTGTCTGTGTCATATATGCTGATGTAAACAACCAGTTACATATTAAGCTACTGGCTTGACATCCATAGAGAGAATGACACTTTCTGGTTCATTTCATTGGTCTTTCAAGATTGCTGTTTAACTGTACCAAACACAAAGCAATTAATTAAACCAAAATGAATAATTAAAAATTACGGAGCTGCAGTTTGGGGAAAAAAACATTTTGCTGTTTGTTGCTGAAAGTCTTTCCCCAGAAAGTAACTTTGGTGCTTGAGGGGGAAAGTTAGTGTGGAAATGCTTTAAGAAAAGGTATAAAATAGTTAACATTTGGTGATGATCCTGTGGCAGGGACTTGGCACTACTAACGCTGCTTATTAAATGGCGTAATTGTCATGGGACTTAACAAGAGCCAGATTTTTGACTCTTGGAAAATGAAAATTTACAGCGGTTTCTCATAGTCCTCCTCTGCACCTACACCTGCCTCCTACCTACTTTCAGTTACTGTGGCTTTCTCATTACACTGTCACTTTGTGAAAGGCATACAAATGCGTCAAGCATTAAGTGACTGCTCTGAGAAAATAACTATGCATGAACTATCCAATGCATAAAGTACAAAGTTAAAGGAAAGATGCATTTGGGGCTACATGCCTACACCCACTGACTAAATTGAGACAGAGGGTTATTGGTCTGTGCTTGTTTTTGTTTTATTATATATTTTGTAACCTCATTTTGTATTTTTCTGTTGTGAGCTGCCCCAGGATCTTTGGATGGAGGGCAATACAAAATTTAATAATAGTAACAATAAACAAATAGGACTTCTTGGGGGTAGACATTGGCAAGCACTGCTATCTCTCTTTAACCTACACTTCACTCCCTAGACAATTGATACTTAGAAAAATAATAGGGAAACCCATTAAAATCTGAGTAGGTGTTTAAGATGGATGGGCAATTCATAATCAAAGAGTTGGAAGGGAACTGCAGGATCATCTAGTCCAACCCCCTGCAATTCAGGAATATGCAGCCATCCCATACAGGCATTGAACTTGCAACCTTGGTGTTAACAGCACCATGCTCTAACATGGTTCCATAGCTATATGGAAGCTAAGACACAGATATGTGGCACAACCCTGAGGTCAAATAGGGCACCTGTGATTTACTCAGAAGAAAGTTCCACTGAATTCAGTAGGACTTTCTCTCAAGTAAGTGCATGTAAGGCTGCAGCCTTCACAACCATGTAAAGTGAGTTATTTACAGTCCAGTCCTATGCATATCTACTAAGGCAGGCATCCCCAAACTCGGCCCTCCAGCTGTTTTGGGACTACAATTCCCATCATGCCTGACCACTGGTCCTGTTAGCTAGGGATGATAGGAGTTGTAGCCCCAAAACAGCTGGAGGGCCGAGTTTGGGGATGCCTGTACTAAGGAATACATAGTTTATTTAATGTTTGTACCTCATGTTTTTCATAAAGTCAAAGTCAAAACACCTTGCCCCCCAAAACACCCAAAGTTGCCCAATGCTATGCACTGGATTTTGAAGCTTAGCAGAATTTGAACCAGGGTTTGCTGAATCTCAAACTTTTAAAGCCACTTTATTGCAAAGTTTTTAAAATGCTAGCAGGCAAACAAGCTTCTGGTGTGTTGATTTTTAGTGTGTTCCTGGAAACTATCAGAAATATTTGCTTTGTCCATGTGGCTTTAGGCATGGTGGGTAGCACAACTGTGGGGTGTGAATTATATTTAACAGAAGATTTGTTAACACTTGTGATTTCTCCCATCTGAATCCCTTCCTTAGCCAAGTCTAGGATTTTTAGCATTAACCATGCCCCTGACTAGCGCACAGCAAATAGTGGCAATGCAACTAAAATTGGCTACAGTTTCAGTTGTAGACCAGTTTGTGTCCTTCTTCACTAAACATAGCCCACCAGCCATGTATTGTGTTGAGTCATGAGCTTGACAACCTCCTATTTTATTTTATTTAGCTTCAGGAAGACAACAAAACCAAGAGGCATTTCTTTCTAAAATGATGGAAATTCCTTGTCTCTTCATTGCATGTGGAAGATCCCAGGTTTTCCACCAGGTAGACCTGGGAAATACTCCCTGTCTGAAACCCCGAGAGCCACTGCCAGTCAGTGTAGATCAGTGTTTCCCAAACTTGGGTCTCCAGCTGTTTTGGACTACAACTCCCATCATCCCTAGCTAGCAGGACTAGTGGTCAGGGATGATGGGAATTGTAGCCCAAAAACAGTTGGAGGTACAAGTTTGGGAAACACTGGTATAGACAATGCTGAGCTAGATGGACCAGTCGTCTGACTTATATAAAGGCAGATTCCTGTGTTCTCACAAAAACTGAAGGTTTGTGCCTGTGTGGTTAAACTCCCTATAAGCTATGTGGAGAGCTACTCTCACAAACAACTTACCTTGTGTAACTCTGCCTGTAAAATTGCATTATAGGCATCTGATCACATAAATGACTGCACTTGTGAAACAAATTGAAGCAAATTTCAGTAAGGAACCTTTCAGATACTGAACCCAAGTCACCCTCTTGGCAGAATCCTATACATGTTCACTTGTAAGTAAGTTTCATTGTGTTAATGTAGTTTACTGCCTTGTAAATGTATTTAGCATTGCAGCCAATCTTACTCAATAAACTAATTAATAAATTACCACAGGCACATAGATACATGCAAGTTCTCTCATGCTTGCCTCAGATTAACTTGGCAGTGATTCAGTAACTTTTAAAAAGTTCAGATCTTATACGATTTCTCCAAACCCATATTTGCCATCTTTCCCATTCCCCACAGAAACAACCCCCTCTAAATACATTATTCTTTTCCTTCCTGATATGCAAGCTGCTATAGTGGAAACAAGAGCAGGGGTGCTCAGGGTGAGAAGGGGCAGTTCCATCCCAGATGGCAGCACACCAGGGCACAAAGACCAATCAACATGGGATGCATAGTTCTCCCACAGGCTGCTGCAATAGGTGGGGGAAACCCTCACTCTGAAAAGGGAATGGGGGAGTGTGGATTGACAGGGAAGGTGGATCACAATAGGTGCAGGGGTGGGGGAGTTGGAAATATTTACCTCACCTGGATTTTATTTTGAGTCAAAAGGTTAATTTTGGTGCTTGTAAAGTTTGCTGCTTTTTGAGGATAGCCCTATAGAATGTTCCCAAGCCCTAGCTCAGAGAATTTTGCTAGCCTCTCTGTGAGCAAGCTACATGCTGTACTCCACTACATGTCATGAAGCTGCAGTGGGGCCTTATCCATTGCAAATTGGCCTGGCTGCTTTTGTTCCAGACCTGCATTTATCTGGCAAATATAGCTGTGGTGGCCTGAAGGATGAAAGCAGCACTCTCTCTTTGTTTGTGTATTTGTGAAAGAATGTTTCACGGAATAAGTAACTAGGAAAGGAAGGGATAAGCATCCCTTTCTTGCCTACCCTCCTATTACTTATCAAGGAAAATAGATATATTGGGACTTTGTTGCATACAGCTGCAATGTCATGTTCAGATTTGTCCCTTAAAAGATGCAGGAACCAAAGGCAAAACAACAACAGAAGGTTGGGTCTTAGGTTGTGTATTTTGACTTTAAATGCATCACACACAGCCAATGGCTAGCTTGGAATCTACCAAGAAAAAAACAGAACAGCTGAGAAACTACGATCAAGCCATTTAAGCAGAAGGACATAGTAAAAGGGGTGGTTGTGACAATGAGTTGAAAGGAAAAGAGTGCACTACACAAATTGGAATGTTCTTATTCTTATTTCTTATTTCTGGTTGCAAGATTTTATTTATTGAATTTATATACCGCCCTGGACCTGGACATCCCAGATGTATAAGATAACACACTTTATTTAACAGTCTTGAGAGGTTATCCCTCTGGTGGGAGAAAGAGCAAAACAATGGTTCCTTCTAGAGAGGATGGATTTGGGGTCCTAGGAACAAGTACTTGGTGCACTTTAGAGATGGTGTGTGGACAGGAAAGGACTTCCGATCTGCTATACCTGCAAAAGTGACATCCAAGCAGCAATCGATGGTTAATTAGTAGTGATGGTGGTGCTGGGGTTTTTCTGCTCGATCCTACACATGTATGCTTATTTGGAAGTAATTCCACTATGCTAAAGAGATATTTCTCTTGGGTAAGTGTGCATAGGATTACAGATACGATGTGCAATCCCAATAATTTATTCAGAAGTAAGACCCGCCGAGTTCATGGGGGGGGGGGGGAGACTCACTAGAAAGTATGCATATGCAGTATTAGAAATGTTTAAACTTAACTTTGTATGAGTAATGTTTATTAGTTAAATCAGGGGTGGAGAACCAAATGTGTCCCACCAGGTCTGCAAGGATGTTTTGGGCAAGCCACTGCCACCTACTTTACACCTGACATCATATATGACATCATATGTGTGGGGCAGGTAAGAATGGGTTGAACAAGCCCTTTAAAGTGTCTCCCCTCACTCCTGCAGGTGAACTTCAGCAGGTGTCAGCCATCTGATGTCAGAGGATGGCTTGGGGGGAGGGGAGGGAGAATGATGCACAGAATAGCTTCCCAGCCCATAGCTGGTGGTTTCCTGCATCCTACTAAAATTATAAAGAACTATGCAGTCATGATGCAGCAAATAGTAATATCAAAATACGTTTCATACTTTTTTTAAAACACCACCACCACCAAATGTTTATTGGTTTTCAAACCAGTGAAGTACATACTGTATTACTGTTGTTTTCTTACACATTTTTCTCCTTTACCTTATTTTAAAGACCATTTATTTTCTCCTGATTAATAACTTTTAATTATAGAAATAGCTTTTGCAGACTTTAGTGTTAGGTTTAGATTTGGGAAATTGAGATTCACATCCCTGTCCAGGAGGATGGCTATTTTTGGAAAAGTCACTTTCTGAACCTAACTTACCTCACATAATTTTCTGGAGCTTAAATGCCACTTTTACCTTGCTGGAAGGCCATAATAAAAATACAAGTAATAATATTTAAGAAAAAATACGATAGATAGATAGATAGATAGATGATAGATAGATAGATAGATAGGTAATAACCTTGAAGTATGTATTGAAGGTATATGTTGAAGTTTTGAGCATCAGGTTAGCACTTCTGTATTATCTACTGAACCCAAAACTCTGCACAAATGATTATCAGAATCTTAGCCAGGTTACTCTATTTAATCTTCAACTTCAAAGAAACACTTCACCCTCTTAAGTGTGACTTCTCCAAATAAATTTTAGCTTTGGTTAAGAATGCTGATGATTCCCTTTATCAGCACTGTGGTTTTATTTGAAATAGCCTTGTTAAAGAAAAACCCACAGGGGTGACAAAATGGAAACTAGTATTTATCTGCCTTATAATGAATTCAGTAGTGCTTGATTTAGCAGTATTTTAAAGCTATAAACAGAATTGGGTTTTTAGTTTATTGATGCATGAATGGAAATATGAAATGACATTTGCAGGGATGCTAAGGGCGGCTAATACAACTCAGAATCCAGAGCAGAGAGAAGGAAGATACAAGAAATAGTAATCAGTTAGTTGGGAAATTGTATGAGTCCTTTCTAAATTTCTGCATTTGCTTTGACACCAGAGTAAACCCATTTCTGCATTATCCCCCAATGTAAATTTGCTTCATTTATTCTGAAAGCAGCAGGAATTCAATGAGCTTAGCGGAGTTCTTTTTTTTTTACTTTGCTACAATTAAGTAGTTAGATCGGTGTTGCTTTGTTCTTTCATATTGTCACCTGAGCCCTAAATATTCCCTCTACCACCATATTTTTCCGCAATGCTGGTGTTCCTCCATGGAAGTCATTTGCACAGCTGTTCAGATGCATATAGCTGTTCAGGTGCATGTAACAGAATGGCTGATCCAACCAAAGCATTTATATGCTGTCACAAAAACTGTTGGAAATGGGTTGTAAGCAATATTTATTTACCCATCTTTTTCTCCTGCTAGTTGTAAGTGTGCATTACACAGTAGGCTGATTTATTTCATACAAAGCTGTTGCTTTTGGCTGATGGGAACTTTTACCACCTCGAATCTTGGGGCATATGGCATTTTCAAGCAAAGTGATCAGTGTTTCATAGTTTTGACAATTTCCCCTCTATTTTGTAAGTGTACAGTGTTCAAAATTCCCCAGGCGCCAGCTGTATTCTGCGAGTACTGCTGGTCCAATTGCAACCATGGGGAGATTTCTGGATGCCAGGCTGGCAACTGACATCTCCATCTGGCTGGCTCCTCCAGCTTTCTTAAGGAAGTAAACTGAAGAGCTTATTTATTGCATTTATATCCAACCTTTTTCTACAAGGAGTACATGGTTCACCCCCCTCCTCAGTTAATCCCTACAACAACCCTGTGAGGTAGGTTTAGAGGCAGTGGCTGGTCCAAGGTCACCCATTGAGCTTCATGACTGAGTGGAGATTTGAACCCTGATCTCCCAGGTACTAGTCTGACTCGTTAACCACTACACCACACTGGCTATCTAGAGTACTTCTGTCATGAGGCAGCTATTTAAATTAAGTAGGTACAGTGGTACTTCGGGTTAAGTAATTAATTCGTTCTGGAGGTCCGTTCTTAACCTGAAACTGTTCTTAACCTGAAGCACCACTTTAGCTAATGGGGCCTCCTGCTGCCGCTGCGCCGCTGGAGCTCAATTTCTGTTCTCATCCTGAAGCAAAGTTCTTAACCTGAAGCACTATTTCAGGGTTAGCGGAGTCTGTGACCTGAAGCGTATGTAACCTGAACCATTATCTTACCCGAGGTTCCACTGTAAATAAATAAATATCGGGAAAGCAAAATGTCCCTTAGAGAAGAATCTGAAGTCTTTTCCTTTAAGCTTGAATTTGTTTTATTTGACGTTTTAATGTGTTGTAAACTGCTTTGAGATTTTTCCTTAAAATGTAAAGCAGTATAGAAATGAAATGAATGATAACAATAATAATAGCAACAAATTCAATTGCAAAAAAGTCTCCTAGACATTCCGTTGTAGTGACTGTAACCTAGGTTTAAGGTGTTATTTGGCAATTAGTTTATGCATCTGAGTTTCTAACACTGTTGTGTGCATGCATTAGTGGTTCAATACTGTTGTGTTAGACTCTTCTGAAATACAAAAATGGGAATTATTGTATAAATCAAGTAAGTAGTCTTGGATGGTCTCACAGTGTTCTTTTGTTTGCAGAGAAGATTCTTGCAACAAAGGAAACTATGGAGGCTTTGTGCAATGAAGTATGTGAAGTTGAAATATGCTTACTGGAAAAGTTGTTCAGTATTATGTTAATGATATGACCATGCAAGGAATCGTGTCACAGGCAATGCACTGGGACAATAAATTGTGACATGCAAAAGTTATTGGGTGGGAAAAGGCACATGGGAGCAAGAAACAGGGTAAGAGGTGGATTAGCAGCTGCACAGGCAGTGGGAAATTTCCTTTGTACTGGAGTCAACATGATGATGGCAGTTTAATGGAGTCGAAGTATGTTCAAATCTGCATGTCTTGCATTAGATCATAGGAATCATTCCTATTAGGGCATTGTTGAATAGCTCCTGTTTTGATTTATAGGGCTCTTAAAATCCTGATGGAAACTTCCCAGTGTAACGCTGTTCTGTTGTTAGCTATCATTGTTCTGCTGATCTGCTGCTGCTTTTGCACAATTTCAGCACTCTCACCCCTTTGGCTTAGGAGTTCATTTTCCTTCATAGAATTATCCCAGCCAATCTGGGTGGGATGACATAGCCTTTCAGTTTTGTCTACAGGCTGATATGGACCAAATGAAGCTGATTTACAATGGAATTGGTCAGGATAGTGAAGGCAAATAAAACATATTCAGGGCAATGACTCCTGAACAGACTGAACACGTTCATGCTTCTCACAGTGGAACCCCCTCCCCCCCCCCAAAAAAAAGCCCTGCCAGAGGGAGCTTTGGATGCTGATAGAATTCCACCTCCCTCTTTTAGCTGAGCCATAATTTCTAGTGATTTTGGAGAGCTGCCTTTCAAAGCAATTTCCCTATTGTACCATAATTCTTGAAAGCCTCACCTTTCTTTTTCGTAGAATAAGTAATCATATGCATACCTTTTTGTTCTGTTGCTAAAACATGTGGATCCTAAAATGCTTGTAGTATATCCATTGAAATTAATGGACCCAAGTTAGACATGTTCGTTAATTTCACCGGGTCTATTCTGAGTGTGAGTAGCGTTGGTTACTACACAGTAACTGGCAGGATGGAGGAGCTTGGGGAAATACCAGTACAGTTTCTTCCCTCCTCTTCCCCCCAGTAGTTGAGATTACCCTCACCTTAGCAACCAACAAATCAGGTTGCAGAAATGAGGGGCTGTTTTGCTTCAGTCCTACAATATGTAAACATTAATATATTAATCCTCCCTCTTTACCCCAAAAGGGCATTCAGGACCACTTAGAATAGATGCGATAAAACTAAGTTTAACTGTATTAAAAAATGCAGAAAAATAATGAAATTAACTTAAAACAGCAGCAGAGAGGCGCAAAGCTTTAGCTTCACCCAAAGAACTAAAATAATCTGAATAAAACAAATCCTTATATATATTTGCCATTTCATGTATCTTGATTGTCTGTTATACACAATTCTTATAGACAGGACAGTATCTTTCTGGTGCAGATCCAGTGCCTGCAAGTGGAAGGATTTCCACTGGATGTAACAGAAGACAGTCCCTTCCCCCAACCCTGTGCCCACCAGTGCATACAGAGTCAATGCACTGGGAACCTTTCCCCTCCTCCAGTTAAGGAACACTGTACTGACAGGACGAGCCTTGCTGAACCCAGTGAGGTCTCCTCAAATGAGGAAGGATTTTGCTTACAGTGTCTTAGCAATGACCATGTCTGTGATTCTGGTGGAAAAAATAACTGAAGCTTTGGAAAGCAAAGAGTAATAGCATTGCCAATAAAGTAGACATAGCCAGGTTTGAACCTTTGTAGTGAAATGGTTTCTCTGAAAAGGTTCTAGGAATGAGCTTATTCTCCAAAATTTTAATGGTTTGCTTTTTATGTTTGGGAACCTCTGGCTCGGTAACATTTTATACTCACATCTGGAAGTTTCCAAGCTTTGAATTCTGCACACAGTCTCAGGCTTTTGTCTTTCCATTCAGACTTGCTATGTTATAACAATGAATCATCTTATCCATTAACTAAACTTGGAATGTCTGCCTAGGCATTCTGAATTTGTTTCATCACATTGCGATAATAATTTGTTGGAATCTTGGCAACTCAACCACTTTCCCAGATGTATTTGGATTGGATTACACACAGTGTTGTTCTGAGCAACAGAAGGATAAGACATCACAACATTTGGATATACCTTGATTTTATTTAGTTCCCTGTATGTTGTCCAGTCTTTGGTAACAGGTGAGGCAGGGGTTTGGAGTAGGGAGCTGTAAGAGGAGAATAACAGGCAATGAGTTTGAATGCTCTTAAAGGTCACAGGTCAGAAAGCAAGAACAGCCAAAGACAGGTCCTTCAGAACCCCGGACAAGTCCAAGGGAAAAGGCAGCCTGTTCTGAAAAAGGCTAGTCACTCTATAGCCCCCCCTCCCCCCCCCCCCGGTTAAGAGGAGAGGCCTTCTCACAAGCCCTACTCCTTTGCGAGAGAAGAAATATCCTTAAAGCAGTGGTTTTCCACCAGTGTGTCATGGCACCCTGGGGTGCTGTGGGTGATGCTCAGGGGTGCTGCGGGCAACACTGGCCTCTGTCCCTCTATCCTTCCCTCCCTCTTCTGATGCCCTCTTGCATCCCTGCCTCCCAAAGGCTTGCACAGCTGTTTGGTGAAGCAACCTTGCTGCAGCCACTGCTGCCTTACAAGGTAAGGTGCTGGCCTCACGTTTACCTTTGGCCAGTCTCTTTTGGGCCACTAAGGTTCGGGGAATCCTCTGCCCATGCCCCTGTGGGGCAGTGTGAGGAGGCACCTCTCTTGTGAGGGCAGCTCAGAGACCAGGGGCAGCAGGAGCGGCTGCCTGGAGGACTGCCAAGGAGAGGGGAGAGGAGAAGAGGCTGAGGGAACACTCCACAAGGGAGAGTGTTTGAAAAAGAGTGAGAGGCTGCCAGCTTAGCAGGCCCTAAGGGGTCACATAACTGGGTTCCTAAGCCCCACAGCTTCATTTGTTCAGTCCTAGTGAAACCAGTGGGACTTACTGAATAAATATGGCTAGTTTTTGCCTGTAAGTTTAGCATTCATGGGGACGCGGGTGGCGCTGTGGTTTAAACCACAGAGCCTAGGGCTTGCTGATCAGAAGGTCAGTGGTTCGAATCCCCACAGTGGGGTGTGCTTCCATTGCTTGGTCCCTGTTCCTGCCAACCTAGCAGTTTGAAAGCATGTCAAGTGCAAGTAGATAAATAGGTATAGCTCCGGCGGGAAGGTCAACGGTGTTTCCGTGCGCTGCTCTGGTTTGCCAGAAGCAGCTTAATCATGCTGGTCACTTGACCCTGAAAAGCTGTCTGTGGACAAACGTCGGCTCCCTCGGCCAGTAAAGCGAGATGAGCGCCGCAACCCCAGGGTCGTTCATGACTGGATATAATGGTCAGGGGTCCCTTTACTTTTACCTTTTGGCATTCATGGTAGTGCAGGAAAAAGACAAAAGGCATATATGGCATGATCATCTACTAAATATCAGCATTAAAGATATGTTTGTGTGATGGCTTTGGAGTCTCCAACCTCTTTAGGCCTTGGGGCACATATGGAAACCTGAGGCACCACAAACACCCCCCTCTACCACACATATAACCACACCTGCCCCAGTGTTCAAAGCTCCTATTGTTCTAGGCACACTTTGCAATAGGGAATTTCATTAGCGCGAGCAGTTTCTGAGCTCTGGGCTCAGTACTGCACCTAAGATTTCAGATTAAAACTGCAGAGTGGAAGGAAAGGAGGACCTTTTTCTGCCTCCCCACTTCCAGCTATTCTCTGAGGACTGGAAAAGAGACCCTTTTAATAATATTAGGGGGGTGGGCAGGGGAAGGGCTGGACCATGTGAAGAATGAACACAATATTTTAGCTGCAGTTCATTCATTTTCAGCTTTGTATTCTTGTTATTAAAAAAGCACACTTAGATGTTGCACCCATAACCTAGTTTTAAGGTGCCATTTAGCTCCTAGCTTTCATATCTCAGTTTCTAACACTGACCTGTCCTTCACTCACTCTGTAGCCAGTAGAAGGCTCTCAGCTGCAGAGGGAACAGCTAGCCTTTCCCTCCCCTGCTGCAACACCCCATTAGGTTTAAACTTAGTCCTCTGTTAGTTACAACCAAAGTCCTATTAGAAGTGTATTGAAATGGGTGCAGGAAAAAGGAGAATGTTGTGGGTACTAGGGAAAGTCTTGGTAGACACATGTGCAGTCATGGGCACCATGCTGGCATAAATTCAGTGGGAACATCCATTTGGGTGTCCTCAGTGCATACAAGTAAGAGCTAAACTAAATTATTCTCCCATTAAAACTAATGTTAGTAGGTGGCTGGTTTTGGTTCTTCTTTTCAGTTGGACCAGCTGAGCCAAGGAATTTAGGCATATTGTCAGTTCTGCCCTTTAGAGGTATATTCTCTCTAAAGCAAAAGCTAGAAGTGCAAACAATATTGGCACATGCTTAAATGCTATGTTATGGATTTCAAAGAACACATATCTCACTAGGATCATGTGCATGGCTAGTTGAACCTCCCAAAAAGAAGACCTCCCACTAACTTCAGTTGTGTTTGCAGTGATATAGAGCACAAAGGACCAAGGCTTTAGTTTACTAGAAACTTAGGAAAGATTCGGAAGGGACCCATGGGCAAGATTCTCCAATCTTGAGACATGCATTTCCTTCTACTGAGGCTAAAACTGCACAAGCAGAACAGTTTTTTTAAATATAATGTGCATGTTTAGTTTATGGCATTGGGTAATCCAGTTTTATAAACTCATGAATATGTAATTATGCATTTGAAATAAAAAGAGTGCAGATAAATTATGAAGGCAAATGTGCTATTTTGTTTTAATCACATGAGAATTTTATACAAAATGTAATTTGCTGATTTTCCATATTCAGTTGCTATACCATTGCTGTTTCTGTTGAGTAAGGAAGAGCTGAAGAGGCCCCTGTCCATGTCCTCTGTATCTTTCTGCCTATTGCTCGTTCTCTCCTCTTTCATTTTACATCTATATTATAATAATATAATAATAATAAGGTATCATTGGAAAGTTTAAATATCTCTTTCCGTGTGTATCCAAATTTGAAAGCAACTCTGGTTTTGTTCTATGAGTGCATCTGGTAACCACCACCTTTGTGAACATTTGGATAACTAACTCAGAACAGACAGGCTTATCAACATGGTTGAATATCTGTGGACGCTGAATATGATGGATTTTGTGAATTCCATTATGATAACCAATTAAGCGCTATGTTCTTTGTGGTTTGTCATCTTGTTGTTCATCTCTTTTTGTGGTTTGCATTTCATGAACTATTAAATCATCCAATGCTTGACTCTTAAGCATTTTGCTTTTTTGCTTTTTTTCTTGCTGTTTGCTGCTGAGAAATGTATGTAACCATAACTCACATTTGAAGAACATTTTTTTTTTGCTCCTATGTGTAGCATCTTCTTCATTTGATATTTGAAATGGAAACTTGATAATTTTATCTATTTTCTCCTAAAGATATGCAATCTGATTATAATAAATCCCTGAAGGCAACTGAAATATGAATAAGACACAAAGGTGGTTAAAAACATTGTGAAAATGCTTTTCAAAAAATTGTTTTGAAAAATGCATTGAATTTGCTATAGCTCAGTCGCCATTTAGTATCACAATTGTATATTGCACTTTCAGACACATTCAAAACGTTTTATTTGAAGCTGTATAGCTGAGGCCACTGAGTGTGCCTTAGTTAATGATATCGTTGAAGTTGTCAGAACATTGTTACACATAACACAATAATATTTGTATTGCATTAAAGTGTATGTTTCCACTGGAAAAACCTTCCTAGCTTTTCATCAGTAAAATGCAAGTACTAAAACCATAATAAAAAGACTTTTCCTGGAGTGAGCACTATAATGAGCCAATAGAAATAACAGATAGAATCATTAATGCTAGCATGATTGTGTACAGCTTGTTGAAAAACATACATTTCAGTTGCAAGTCTTTATGTGGGAAACCTATGTTCAATACCTTTTTAATGTCCTTACAATGCTTTTCTAAGGTCATGAGTTCATTGAATCATAGAAACGTAGAGTTGGAAGGAATCCCAAGGTTCATCTAGTCCCCTGAAATGTAGGAACATGCAGCTGTCCCATTTGGGAATCAAACCTCAGACCTTGGCATTATCAGACCACACTCTAACCAACTGAGCTATTGCACAAGTGCTGTAGCAAATAACCTCACTCTAGGAGTAATTTTGACAATATGTGTTTGGGGTGTGCTGTTGAGTGGGCAGGTGCAAGTTGATGTGCCATATTGTTGATCACTGGAGCTGGAGATGGTGGCATAGGATTCTTGGGCTGCTGTGTTGTTAAAATGCCCAGAGAATATTGGAACCGTGGGACCAAACAAACAAGGACTTTGAGGGTCGGAGCTCAGGAAGGGGAACGGAATTGTCCTTGAACTTACATGAAGGGTGCAGCAGAAGATCAGGAACAAGGAGATAAATAAAGTTTTGGTGACTGCAAATAACTGCTTGGCTGATGAGATGGACCCAAAGCCTGTAAATCCTTGTGCCGTAATCATCCAAGAGAGCCAGTCTACACAGACCTGCACTCTCTTATTTTGCTCTACATATTTTTCAGAGCATGGAATGCTTTCTCTTCAGTTCACAGCTGCACACATTTTCCCTGACAATTTCTGTGGAAAAAAGAGTAATCTGGGATGCAAGTAAAGCTGTCATGAGAGGATTTTTGATACAACAGAATGCAATTAAGAAGAGAATGCAAAATGAGAGATAAAATTCTGGAAAAAATAAAGGAAGGAGAGAAGAAATTGAGGGTGAAACCAAAGTCCCAGGAGATTTTGAAAGAAATAAAGTTATATCAAGTACAATACATGAAAATGATGAATCAGGAAATAGAATGGAAGATCAAACAGATGAGACAAAAGACATTTGAATCGGCAAATAAGTGCGGGAAACTGTTGGCCTGGCAAATGAAAAAAAGACAAAAACTTAATACCATCATGAATTTGGAAGTAGAAGGAAAGAATATACAGAACCCAGTGGAAATTAGAAAGTGCTTCCAGAGGTATTTTAAACAACTATATACACAGGAGAAGCAGAAAGAAATGGACATTGATAAATTTTTGAAAAGGAATGGACTACAAAAAATTTCCCAATGTTGAATCACAAAATAACAGAACAGGAAGTAGAAGGGGCCATTCAGAATATGCAATTGGGTAAATCTCCAGGGCCGGATGGACTGATTTCAAGATATTATAGATCTTTGAAACAATGGTTAATACAACCTTTAAAGGAAGTCTGCAATGAAATATTGGAAGGGAAAAGGGTGCCAGAGTCGTGGAAGGAAGCTTACATCACACTTATACCGAAAACAGAGACTGAAAAGACACAGCTCAAGAACTACCGCCCCATATCATTGCTTAATGTGGATTATAAAATTTTTGCAGATATTTTGGCTAAAAGATTAAAAAAGGTGTTAGCAGAAGAAATCCATAAAGACCAAGCGGGCTTTCTCCCAGGCAGACATTTGTCTGACAATACGAGGAATATAATTAATATTTTAGAAAAACTACAAGTGAAGATTAACACTAAAGCAGTTTTGATATTTGTGGATGCAGAGAAAGCCTTTGACAATATTTCCTGGAGTTTTATGAAGAAGAATCTACAGGGGATGGGGGTAGGCCAAGGTTTTGAAAACGGTATAGGTGCAATTTACTCAGAACAAAAGGCAAAATTAATTGTGAACAATGTAGTGACAGAAGAGTTTAAGATTGAGAAAGGGACACGACAAGGTTGCCCAATCTCTCCATTGCTTTTTATATCGGTCCTGGAGGTTTTGCTAAATATGATTAGAAGGGACCAATTGGTAAAAGGCATACAAGTGGGAGCCAAACAGTACAAATTGAAAGCATTTGCTGACGATTTGGTATTAACTTTACAGGAGCCAGAATCTAGCACCAAAAGAGTATTAGAACTGATCCAAGAATTTGGTCAGGTAGCAGGTTTTAAGTTGAATAAGACGAAAACTAAGGTTTTAGAGAAAAATTTAACTGCGATTGAGAGAGATAAGTTTCAGAAGGAAACAGGATTGACACTGGTTAAGAAAGTGAAATATTTAGGGGTTAACATGACTGCTAAGAATGTGAATTTATTTAAGGATAATTATGAAAAATGTTGGATGGAAGTGAAAAAGGATTTAGAAATATGGTCAAATTTGAAGTTATCGTTGTTAGGCCGAATTGCTGTGATAAAAATGAATGTACTGCCAAGAATGCTGTTTTTGTTTCAAACATTGCAAATTTTGGATAAAATAGACTGTTTCAAGAAGTGGCAGAGAGATATCTCTAGATTTGTCTGGCAGGGCAAGAAACCTCGAATAAAATTTAAGATATTAACAGATGTTAAAGAAAGAGGTGGATTTGCCCTGCCAGACCTTAAACTTTATTATGAATCAGCCGCATTTTGTTGGCTGAGAGAATGGATGCTTCTTGAAAACACGGATGTGTTGGATTTGGAAGGTTTCAACAACGTATTTGGTTGGCATGCATACCTGTGGTATGATAAGGTTAAAGCACACAAAGCGTTTAAAAACCATATTGTCAGAAAAGCACTGTATAATGTTTGGATAAGATATAAGAACTTGTTAGAAAATAAAACCCCAAGATGGTTGTCACCAATGGAAGCAAAGGCTCAGACAATTTCTGTCCAAATACTGTTACAGTAAATGTACATATGTAGCATTACGTTCAAATTCCATGAGCAACACAGGCTCTACCCCCTTCTCCACTCTTTCAGAAATGTATGCTAAGCAAAGCTTCATTGAGAAATAAAGCAATGAGGCTCAGCTAGAATTTCTGCTTAGTATAATGATCACTCCACTCCATTTAGTATAAATAGCACATTACTTGAAAACATGGGGTATTTTTGCAGTATTATGGACGAGTTAATATATTTCACTCCATATTCCAGATACTTTAATTTAATGACTATGGAGGACCTATTTGGTTTCTAACATTTGATGTTCCTTTTATGTCTGTTTCACATGTCCAGATTAAGTGCATTTTTTCCTGCTTCCCAGTGGCCTTTTTAATCTTTTTTCTTCTTCAGATCATAGAGTTATGATCACATGTGACAGTGGCAGGGTGGATGTAAATATATTGTTATAAGTGTCTATAACAAGATGGGGTTGCAATTTCTTTCTCCTTTGAGCATAATTCTCCGTGGTTGATGTGCATGACTTTGAAGGTTATAGCTGTCCAGTGTCAGTAATTCACTAGGCCATTCCTAAGTGCATCTGTTTACAAGGTTATCTGTCTGATGATTATTGAGGCAAGCAAGCGCAGTATCCTGTTCCCGAATTACTAAAGGAGCTTATCTGTGTCCTGGAAAAAACCACCCAGCTTCATGGCCCTTGTGCACAGCAGTGCTTGGGGCTTAAGTGAGGAAATAATTCAACTCCCTTTTAATGAAACACTGTAGTCAACAAATTGGATAAAACTGCTTGTGATATTCCCTAGGTCTGTCTGAGGATGGTCACTAGCTCAGTTGCTAAGCCCAGACTTCCCTCAAAATACCTGCTGCCACCTGCTGACTTTATATTCTTCAGTACATCCTTACCAGACATGTCGGGTGAAATATATTAACCTTAGAATCCCAGACCGGAATACAGACAGCTAATTAAATTAATGTTTATGTTTTAAGGAACATAGCATCCAGAACAAGTAGTCATTTTTATACAGAGTACTCACAGTTCTAATGCCCTATTCTAACTCTTAAAATTTATGTGTTTTCATGTGCACTTTCATTATCTTCCACTTCATGCCCTCTTTCTCACGGACTCTTCGGCTGCCCTATTTTTCAACTCTCATTTCTGACCAACAGTTCCTATCTGTCACTCACTCTAGCTTCACCCAGCACGCCATTCCACTCTCTTCCCCTCGGTCTTAAGTCCTGTTGCCCACATGTGCTTCAAAGGGTTTGAGGACTATTCAGTATGGCACTGGAGTTGGCATGAATTGGCAACTAGAGGGGGAATTGTTGGCAATCATTTCCCTGGCTGTTCCACTGCACAAAGCCTCTGTTAATTCAAGAAGCCTTCTGTCAGTGGAAGAAAACCACTGGATACATTCTGAATAAGACTTCTTCACTGTGGAAAAAGAAGCAGTAGGAACCTCGCAGGCTCTGGGATCTGTATTTGTAATGATTGTGGTTTGAACATAACCTGCACTTCACATCCCTTGCAATATCTGAAGTGCTTAACAAGCAGAATTAAGTTAATTGAGGGAAGAAGACTTTAGAACATGCAAGCCTTGCCCCACCGAGGAGAACAAGAAGGAACACAAATTTGGCAAAAATAAATGCAAATGGACATTAATGCATGTTGTATATTTGTGGAGCATATTAGTAAAAACAAAACAAAAACAAAAACAGACCAACCCAAAGAAAAAACAGTTATTTTATTAACTTCCTAAGTGGGGCAGTGAATAATTTTCTGCAGTTCAAATAATTCATTCTGATTTTCTTCAGAAGCATGATCAGGAGTATCAAATTACACAGGGTGTAGAAAAAGTAGATAGGGAGAACTTTTCCTGCCTTTCCAATGATAGTATAATATTGGGTCATTCAATGAAGCTGGATGCTGGGAGGTTCAGGAATGACAAAAAGAGGTGTAGCACAGAAACTGAATCATAACATTCAGTAACATAACTGAATCATAACATTCCTTGCCACAATATGTGGTGATGGCCATAAATTTCAGTAACTTTAAAATGGAATTGGACAAATGCATGGAGGCAGGAAAGTAGCCTCAGGGAGGGGAGTGGCTGTCGGGGCAATGGCCCCAGACACATTTTTTTGGGGGTGCTGCTGCTCATGCTACCCTGCCAGCCTTGCCCTGCTTTGCGAGGCTGGTATGATCCCAGCCTCACAAAGCAGCTTGGGGCTGTCAAGGTAGCACAAGAAGGGTGCAACAGCCATGATCCTAGCGGTGGCACAGGGGTCTTTAAAAAAGCTTAACAACTTTGATTTCCTAAAATAAATGCAACAACCTCAGTCCATCCCAGGCACCAGTGGGGGTTGCTACGCCGCTGTTCCAGCCTTGCAAAATGGCTTAAGGCTGGCATTGCTCCAGTGGCATTGGTGAGGGCTGGGCTGCCACAGCAGGCTCCATTCACCTTCCGCACCCCAGCGCCAGCAAATCATGCTACGCTGCTGTATGTAGAATAAGTCTACCAATGACTGATCATCATGATGGTTGTATACTACTTCCAGTATCAGAAGTAGCATGCCTCTGAATACTGTCACTGGGGATCATGAGCACTATTGTCCTCATGTCCTGCTGCTGGGCATCTTATGGGCAACTGGTTGACCACTGTGGGAAAGAGCATGCTGTGATAGACAGGCCTTTGGTTTCAGGACTCATGTTATTACATGAAATTCAGGTTTCACACAGCCACCAGTCTTTTAGCACACTGCAGTGTTCAACATATTTGCAACCTAGATACTTTTCACAGATGAAATGTTTTCTGATTCTGTGGCTTCTTTCTTATTCCATTGAGAGAGGATGCGCTCCAGCTCTTATCGATCCCCTCTATAGTTTGCCATCCAATATATGGGTTTCTACATAAAAGGTGGTTGGTGAAATACAAATCAAATTAGAATACTGTAGAAATACAGCCAATTACATGGTAAATCTAGAGAATGTCTTGTGAAATATTTGAACACCAGCTTTCCCCTGAGGAATACATATCTTCATATTTTATGTAAAGGTACTGTTTCATTCAAGGGTAATGCAGGGCATTCCAGTCAAGTTTCTTCCACTAGGTATGTTTATACCCAAGTACTGATGTCATTGCTCTCTGGCACTGGAGAAACACTTGAGGCACCCATGTTTGCTGTGTAGATTTCCATGGAGAGTTCTTTAATTTCTTACGACTATGGGATCACCTTTAGGAAATGAAGTAAAACTGGCATGAACAGCAGTGTGACATATTTACATTCTTTTCCTAAAGTTACCTTTAGCTGCAATGAGATGTTTATATTATATATTATACTATATACCGTATTTTTCCATGTATAAGACCATATTCCCCCCCCTATTTTTTCAAGTTTAAAATTGGGGGTTTTCTTACACACAAATAGTGCATATGGGGGATTTCTTTATTGGGAATCCCCCCAAATAGGGGTCGTGTTATACATGGGGGCGTGTTATACATGGAAAAATATGGTATATAATTATATTATATTATATTATATTATATTATATTATATTATATTATATTATTATATATTTTGTCTCAATACACCTACGACTCTGAATGTTACTAGGAGCCAGTAGCGCCGAATTTCTAAATCACAACGTAGCCAATATCTTCCCTAACCCTGCTGGGTATTTGGCCTATGCGTCTGTGAAATGTGCAAGACATGTGTACCACAATCCATGTGAAACATTCCACAGCCATATGTTTATTGTTGAGAGCATGTTCAAGTGCTTTCCTGGAACAAGGCCTGGTATAAAATTTGTTGGTGCCTTTTCCAGCTCTGGCTTATTTTCACCTGTGTCAGTGGAAACTATGCCATAGATTTCAATGGGATCTGAAAAGGGTGGATTTTTTTTTTTTTAAAAGAAAAATGCTTTCAGATAGATATTGAATTTGTACCAGCTCATTACACTCCCCCCAGGCTACTGACATTTCCCAGGTACACCTATATGCTATATGACTGCTCTTGTGGTGAGCCTGGCAAACTAGATGCTTGGAATGAAATGTTACATGTTTTGAGCAAGTAGCTCCTTTTGCTTACACAGATTATATATATGTTTACTGAAGAAGATGTACAATACATATGTATATGTTATATGAGACATGCTATATGAAATATATCATATTAAATATGTCATATGATATAAGAGATTGCTAATAAAACAAAACAAAAAAAGAGCAAGCAACTAAATCGTACAAGTAAACTGCAGTGACAAAGCTGTTTGAAAGGACAACTTTGAAAAGGTATCAAAATATGTAATGTCACAAATACATATTATGATTTGTCCGTTCCCCCTCCAGCAAGCTTTGAAACTTAAGGTGTTCCATTGTCTTCCTTTTTCACTTTTTGAATTTTGTATTGCTTAACATCTGTGTTATATGCACAAGGATTATAAAGCACACAGATGGCACTCTCCATAGGTCAATACTTGGACTGTACAAAATCCTCCTAGTGCATGTAGTGTTAGGCTGTCCATGAACCAGAATAGTCTGGTAAAAGAAAATCGCGCTCTTGCTGAGAAGCAAGCAAAATGGTCTTTGAAGTGTGCATAAAAAATGAAATATGGGGTAGAGTGGAAGAGAGAACAAGTTATTAACCAGCACATTTAAAGTTTAAAGCAAAGAGAGAACAATATATCTATGCCTGTTTCATTGGCCTGCAGTTTCTGCGGTTTGAGGAAGGAAACTGAGAGATAATGTTTAAGGTGTACTGTGGATATGCTGTGCACATATTAAAGTCAATGTCCCCAAAATGGTGAATGCTAACAATCCCATATGAATGGAGAAATTGTCAAAATAAGAAAGATATCTCCCTACTTCTTGAACACTACACACACTAGTGAATTCTGGCAACTGCATTTAAGCATGTGTCAACATTCTGCAGTGTATCTCTGAGACCTCATATAGAGAATATCCCGGGATTGTCAACATCCAATGTAACAAATATATAACATTTTGTAAGGTGCTGGGATTTTTGAATAAGAAACTGTAGTAGCTGGCCTCCCTCCCCAAGTTCCCTGTACCACCAGGGCAATGTCCAATAAGCCAAGCTATTGACTTGATTTCCATTGCTCTGCAGCACCAACATTGCAGAGAGTCAGAGCGTAAATGTCAGCTTCCATCAACACCCAGCAAGATCAGGTGTGAAGCAGCAGCAAATAAGGTTCTGTTGTTGTTGTTCAGTCGTTTAGTCGTGTCCGACTCTTCATGACCCCATGGACCAGAGCACGCAGGCACTTCTGTCTTCCACTGCCTCCCGCAGTTTGGTCAAACTCATGCTGGTAGCTTCGAGAACACTATCCAACCATCTCATCCTCTGTCGTCCCCTTCTCCTTGTGCCCTCCATCTTTCCCAACATCAGGGTCTTTTCCAGGGAGTCTTCTCTTCTCATGAGGTGGCCAAAGTATTGGAGCCTCAGCTTCAGGATCTGTCCTTCCAGTGAGCACTCAGGGCTGATTTCCTTCAGAATGGATAGGTGTGATCTTCTTGCAGTCCATGGGACTCTCAAGAGTCTCCTCCAGCACCATAATTCAAAAGCATCAATTCTACGGCGATCAGCCTTCTTTATGGTCCAGCTTTCACTTCCATATATCACTAAATAAGGTTCTGACACTCCTCATATTAACCCTTGTTCCTGGTCTGGATCTGCTGTCCAAACAATTCCTTGCACAGTGCAGCTTGAGCTGCTATTGACTGCAGGACACCCTAATTGAACCTGTACAACCGCTGGCATACATCTGAACCACTAGCCCTTGCACATATTCAATGGCACTATTTTAATAATGTTAAAAATGATAAAATTATTCTAGTAATACTGAGTGGTTAAGCAACACTGTTGGAACTGTGTCTTGATTCAGTTATTTATTTTTAACTGCCCTGTGGCCTATAGCTACAGCTGATGAATTGACAGTAGGTAAAACTACCACTACCAGCTTCATTTGATTGTCCTGTGAACAGTACAGAAGATGGGAAAGGAACTGAACATTTTTGGACGAGATCAAATATAGCCCTCCTAACTTGCTTGATGACCATTTCTTTATCCCTTACACTGAAGCTGAATTCTTACCAAGTGGTTAAATCATAAAGTTTCAGTAGTTTGACAAGTATCCAAAGCCCGTAATTGTCAAAATCATGCATGGGCTGAAAGAATAATTGCAGGACAGAATCCTTTCCATGTGAGCCACACAAATCTCTAACAGCTTATCATTGGGCAGGTGAAAAGAATAACAGATGGGCAGGCTCCATTTTTATTAGCTTTCAAATTATTATAGAGTCATGATGACAGAAGAACAATAACAAAAATCTCCTAATACATCAAACTAAAGGCAGGGCATACAAAGCCTAAAGATGTTAAATAATAATGCCCAAACTAAGATCACGACAACCATATGTCTCTAGATGTTATAGGGAGAGATTCCTGTAAATCTGAAATGAAAGTATATGAAATAAAATCCCAACATACTCAGTAGAAATGACTTCCTGCCCCTTAGAGGCCTGTAACTTAGGTGCTGTTTCCTCCCGCAATAACTAAATTGCGGAGGTTTTTATGCCGTATAGTCAGATTATTTTTTAACGATGGTAGGGCATGACTAAAGTAACTTCTTGCCCATATTTCATGTGGAAATATAAAAATGCTGATGGCAGTCAAGTCTTACAGGAACACAATTACATGAACGTTGGAGTGATGCACTTCCTTGTGTTGACTATTTTTTTGCCTATGAAAAGCTTTTTATTTTATCAGCTTTGCTATCTATTTAGCAGAGGAGTTTTAAAACAGTGTCGCAGTGAGTCCTCAGAAGAGAAATCAAAATCTTAACATCCCCTGAACGTAAAATGCTCATGTATTCCCATCTTAAACGAAGCCAGAATAACTGTTGCCTACTGGCAATGTTTCTTAGTAAGTTGATGTGAAAAATCAAGGCCATTTCTCCAAATAAAAAATGTCTTGGAAATGAGGCAAAATTAAATACGTTAGGGCTGTTTGGTGAGTATATGCCCTGAAATTATAAATGCTGATAATGATACAGTAGTCACTTGAGTCTAGGTGTGAGTAGCTGGATGTTGAAAAGGTTAAAGGAATAGGGAGCAGGCTTATTGGTTACATTCTGCAGAGTCCTATGAAAACTCCTCTCAACCTCTGTCCCAGACATGCCAGAGAAGCTCTAGTTACTCTCGGCATTAGTTTGGCGTCCATCAAAGGAGATAATGCATTCTGCTTCAAATTCAATTGGGAAGAACAGTGAGGAGTTTACCGAGAATATTTTAGGAGTGCCATTCTGGGCTGCTTCATGTCTGAACCCTGTTCCTGATGGTAGCCATGGTAGGCATCTGCCACACATCCCACAGATGAAAAATATTTAACTTCTAAGCTACCTTCCTGGGTGTTTTGATGCTCATTTCATTTCTTTGCTAATGGCATATTTTTAGCATGTTATTTCATGTAACTTAGCTGTGATTTTTAAATATTTGTTTGTAAGCCAAGATAATTATTTTTTTAAGAACAGGGAATGCTAATATATGTCCTTAAAAATAAAGGAAATCCAGCAGCTAGCTGCTAGAATCAATACTGCTCTATCACTCAAAGTGAAAAGCCTGTAAGATGAATTTGGAGTAGGCATTGAAGTAGGCTCCTGAAAAAGGCTTTTCATCTGTTGCTGCTGCTTGTTGAACTTTGGGAAGGTCTGGTTTATATTCTTCTGCTTTTCTGGTAGTTATTTGCTATTGTGGAAAAGCTTGTCTGGGTAAGGCGAGGGAAGCATAAGACATGTTATCACCATCCTACTCGTATGCATGCATCCTCCCCCCCGTTTTGTTTTGTTTTGCTCCAAAGAACCGTGGTCCAGAAGAGAACATGCATTGTTCCATGGGCTACTGTTAAACTTTAAGTCAAGGACAGTTGGTGTAATCTTATGCATATGTGCTTGGAAGTAACTTCCCCTTTGTCAGCGACCTGTGCATAAAATTGCTGCCTAAGATATATGACATTGTATTATTTCACCTAGACATCTATCATCACCAAGATCTGAGTGAACAAACTGAGTGGAATTGACCTGACTCTGCTATGCCCACCTGGGTATTCGGTGCAGTACTAGTCTATTATTATTTATTAAATTTATATACCATCCTTCATCCAAGGAGCACAAGGCAGTTTACGTTACAAAAACACAAAAACACATAACATAATAACAAAAAAATACTTCACACAGTTTAAAAGACCATAGATGGTTTCATCAGCCAAAGGCCTAGGTCAGAGGTGCCCCAACGCTTTTTCAAAGAGGGCCAGAATTGATGAAGTGAACATGCGTGAGGGCCGACCTAAGTTGAGCTTTTTTTAGGATTGAAGTTGAGCTTTTTTTTTTACAATTTTAGTACAAATTTGTTCAGCTTTTTTTGGGATTGAAGTTGCTTAGGATTTTACCCCATGACATATACTGCCATGGGGGCCAGATTAAGTCAAACGGCAGGCTGGATTAGGCCCCTCAAATGGACTTTGGACATGCCTGGCCTAGGAGAAGAGTAGGGCTGGGCAATATCTGGTTTTCAACATTGTGATATATCACCAGCTAAACATTGTGATATACCAATATATCATGATGTCTTAAATAAGGATGGATCTATGTAGAGGCATTGGCTGGCTTTCCCTACATTGTGATTTTTACACCACACACACACACACACACACTTATTCATGATATATGGCCAGGTCAAAAATTATGAAACTGATATCATGATATGGACTTCAAACTAGCTTTGGACAATATTTTGATATATCACCCTGCCCTAGTGAAGATGGATGTTTTAACCTGGCACCTAAAGATATGAAGGTACCAAACAAGCCTCTCTGGGAAAAGCATTCCACAAATGGGGAGCCATCACAGAAAATGCCTAATCTCATGTTGCCACTCTCCAGCTCTCTCATGGAGGGGGCACATGAAAAAAGGCCTCAGATTATAATTGCAGGGTCTGGGTCCTAGTCTAGGCTGGAGGACTGGGTTCAGGGGAGAATTGTTATGTTTTATATAATGACCATTTTGAACACCAGAAAACCTCTGCATTGGGCCATATAAGTACAATATCTTTTTCAGGTTTGTCTGTTGCTAATTTCTAATTCATTGAGAGAAGCTTTTTCTGTTGGATTCCCATGTGAGCAGTTGCTGCCAGGTTGAAATCCTCCCACATGTCTAGTGATTAAATATAATTCCCCTTTCTGCAACCCCAACCTTCAAAACTTTCTTCCTATAAAAACATGGTTTGGGTTTTTTCTTCTTCTTAATATCAAATAACACCGTAACCATAACCCATTAAGAATCAATTAGCACCATCAGAGTGTGAAACAGATTTTTATAAGAACCAACCTGTCTGGACAGTTTTTATTTGTATTGTCAGCTTTTCCACAACATTTACTCAAGGAAAGAATGATCACAACTTCGAGCTAAACTTGGATTTATGTCAACTGTAACAACCACTCCGTCAATAAAAACTGAAATAGAAATATATTGATTTGATTTACATGCCAGCGCCCTCTCTGAGTGTTGTGAATCAAATTCCCAGGAGTTTAAGGATTTAAATACAGTGGTGCCCCGCAAGACGAATGCCTCGCAAGACGGAAAACCCGCTAGACGAAAGGGTTTTCCGTTTTTGAGTTGCTTCGCGGGACGAATTTCCCTATGGGCTTGCTTCGCAAGACGAAAATGTCTTGCGAGTCTAGAGATTTTTTTCCCGCTTTCCCCCCCCCTTTATCTAATCTGCTAAGCCTTTAATAGCCTTTTAGCAGCTAATCCGCTAAGCCTTTAAGCCTTTAATAGCCGCTAAACCGCTAATAGCGCTAATCCGTTAAGCCGCTAATAGGGTTGCTTCGCAAGACGAAAAAACCGCTAGACGAAGACTCTCGCGGAACGGATTAATTTCGTCTTGCGAGGCACCACTGTAATAAAAACTGGGTTTATTTACTCAAGTTTCGGAATTTAAAAACAAGTGGGCTTCTAATGTTCTATGGATTTTATGATTATTGATGATATGGAAACTGGGAAGTTAGATGGAGTGATTCAGGCTTATGGGACTACTTTAGGCTTAAAGAATATACCTCGGGAGGAAACAATTCTGCTGATGATGGAGCATATATTGTGCCTGCTGAGTAGCCCTGAAGGCAGTAAAGGTATGCTTTGCTACCTTTGTTGAGTCTTCAGGTAGCCATGCAGCCAAGAGGTACAATGCCTATTAACATCTGCCCCAGTAAATAGTATGCTGGAAGCCTCAGAAACCTACAGTGACAATTCTGCTAGGCAATTTGAGGACAGAATTGCTTCTCTCCGTAGCTACATCAAAGCCACTGTTGGGACAGATCCAGGTGAGGTGACCAGTGCAACACACTGTGCAGTGCTGAGTGCATTTGTTTATTTATTTATCCCAGGTTGTGTGCTTTACATACATTTTTCAGATTTTATGTTCACCACAGCCTTGTGACTGTAATGAACAACGCAGGCTATGCAGTTTTTTCCTATAAATAGTAGTGACATTCAACAGCGAGAGTGGTTTAGAACTGCAGGCTGGATTCCAATTAAAGTTAGTTGCTCTTATGTCCATTGAAATCATTGTCAGTACTTAGGCATGGCTAACGTATGTCCTGTTTCCTTCCATGGGAGAGAAGTACAGACAACAACCGTTTTGCACGGGGGTTACTTTCCTGAACCCCTAGTCCGTCAGCGGAGTGCGCATAAGCCCCTTACGCCCCTTCTCTTGGAAGTTGGGACAACTTTCATAATCCTAAATGGCCAGGACATAATAATGCATCCAGTGCAGTGTTGTTGGTGATTGTATAGCTGAGGGTACAGTGAATGGATCATGCATGAAGTCTCATTAATGTACTTAGTCCTGTGCATGAATCCCTAACCTTTTTTTTGTATCCCTCCCTAAACTCATTACCGTATTTTTCACTCTATAAGATGCACTTTTTTCCTCCTAAAAAGTAAGGGGAAATGTGTGTGTGTCTTATGGAGCGAATGCAGGCTGCGCAGCTATCCCAGAAGCCAGAACAGCTAGAGGTAGCGCTGCGCAGCTCTAGCTTTGCAGGGCTATCCCAGAAGCCAGAACAGCTGTGTAGCGCTCCTTCTAGCTGTTCTAGCTTCTGGCTTAGCCGCGCGAAGCCTCCACTGGGCATGGGGAGTGTTCATCCCACTACCCTGCGGAGGCTTCGCGCGGCTATCCGTGACTTTTGCTGGAGGTGGGGGAAGTGACAGAGCGCGCGCTAGGTACGTCTTATGGTCAGGTGCGTCTTATGGAGTGAAAAATACGGTACTTTGTTTTGTTATTTGCTTTGTCCTGTGCTGTCCCTTCTATTAGCTAATTTAATTCTTTACTGAGTGCCCTCTCAGTGTAGCAGCCCAGTTGTGGCACACTCTATCCAGAGATGCCAGGCAAATATATATTTATTTTCTCAGACTTCTTTATTTAAAATGTTCATCCACTTGATTGATTATGCTGCCTTTGCGATCTGTGGCCTTTTAGTTTATTATAATAGTTGTTGTTGTTGTTGTAATATTTGTATGCCACCCATATGACTGGGTTGCCCCAGACACTCTGGGCAGCTCACAACAGAATATTAAAAACATGATGAAACATCAAACATTAGAAACTTCCCTAAAATAAACAAACTGTTTTATATGCCCTGAATTGAACCCCTGTATTCTCTGAATTAGCCTGGTCATAATCCTGCCCAATCTATTTTATATTCTCCCTTGATCAAGCTAAGCTGTGCCACCCACATTCTGGCTTGCCCTTTGACACACATTAAAGATTCTCCATCATGCTGCAAATTAGAGGCTCTTCACATTAAGAACATTTTCTCCCAGATTCAACTGATTCAACATGTCTGGCTTTTAGTTTATGTACTAAGTACCTATCAAAGAACCTGCTCTGACAAGTAAAAGCTCTATTCCCTTGATGCTAGCTCAGATTTGTGGCTGGGGCTGAAATAACACTGATGTTTGCTCATCATTATTTGCTTTGGCTCCTTCCTGGCTAAGAGCTATATTTAAAAAAAAGAGGGGGAAAAAACCCTTCCAAATTATTCTTATACTGTAACCATATTTGACTATTAATGCATACAGGGAACAATCCTATTGACTAAAAATTAACTTTTCATGACGCATTCACTCTACATATATTTTAAGCAGTAAGCGCTTGCAGCCAGACAGCTAAAAGAAGTACTGCTCACACTGCGAAAGCAACAGAGAATGGCAGCAAGTTTACATTTCAGCTGCATTGCAGCGAGAATCTGAAAAACAGCAAAAGCCATGTCCTGGGATAGTCATAAAAGCCATGTACGTCCAAATAACTAGTGGGAGCCAGTGCAGGTTTATATGAGAGTAAAAGAAATAGTTTTGTTTATAGCTGGCCCAAGAGGCAAGTTAGGTGTGCAGGAGCATGCAACTCCTGAAAGATAAATGCTAAACTGGTTACAGATGAAATTATGGAGGATTTTCCTTTATGCTCAGCAAGCAAGTTCTCCCCCCAGTCCGACCCAAACAAAAACTGAATTACTTTAGTTGTAAAGTGAGTACTGATATATTCCCCTTTAGCCAGATATCATCTGGGGTGAATCATGAATGAATCTGAGCATGGCTTAAAGCAAACCTTTATTGTGAAAATGAAGTGTGGGTGTATTGTGTTCGCTTGAGAGTTAGAAGTTCTACCCCCTGAAAATATGACCTAGCACTATTAAATTAATGCTGACAAACGCAAGGGTATATAGCCTTTCCCCAAAGTCTTGATTTTATTTCCTTTACTCATAACTACTTACCCAGCACTCTGAGGACCTCATGGCCTGTAGGCCACAACTGACTGGGATAAAATGAGGGTAAATACTGACCAAACGTTATTAGTATTGATTTTTGGAACTTGCATCCCTAGTAAATGTTATGAAGTGTAAAAATAGAAAATGAATGTCAGCTACAACAAAGTGAAGCATAATTGCGACAAATAACGTTAGTTCCAGTCACTTAGGTTTAATTTTGCACTTATTCTAAGGAAGCTGCTTTCATGTTGCATCCTGCAGCTAAATTAATACTTTTCGTAAATAATTATTTTTGATCAATGAACTGTGCATAAAATAAATGTGCTGAAGTCTGTCAAGTGAGGAATAAGAACTGTAAATGTGCCATAGTTTAAACCAAAGCTTAGTTTGTTGCTGATGTTAAGCAATAAAATAAAATAAGTTATCCAAACCTAACAACTGCACAATACTGATTATTTTGTGGGTCGTTATTGGCTGCAACTGAACAGAGTAAAGTGCTCTTAACCCTATTGATTTCAATAGTCGTATGCATGATTTAACCTGAGTTGGATTGTGGTCATCATATTTGTGTAACTAGATACCAAAGCTAGTACGAGCAATGTAAAAATTACTGTAAGTAATTCATGGTTATTCATATGCCTATTGATCATGTGAATGACTACAAACACATTTCTGTAGTGAGCAAAACATTTCCTCCCCAAACCTCACATTTCAGTTGTTGCTTCCATAATTGTGTCAATTACTTAGTAAATAGTTGGGAATACAAATTACCACAATACTTGTTATAATTTCTTTAAAAATCCTTTAAAGTTGATAGCAAGTGGAAGGTAGGTTGTGTTTAGTTTATAGCAATGGGGGTGGGGGTGGGGGGAGAAAACACACCTTTTATGTATCTTCCTTTCTTATTTTTTAATGTTTATGTATTGTACAGATTTTTGGTGAGAGATGTAATTTGAAATATGATGGTGTGTAATATGAAATATAATTTATTTGAAATATACAACTGGATCATAAGTACTGGTATTTCAGGTGTTTGTATGTAAATTATAACTTATTTATTTCACAAATTTGGAATAACAGTGATTACTTTTTAATGTTGGTAAAACTATAGAATTTTAATACTATAAGGTCCTGGTATTATCTTTGAATAATTTATTTGAGTTGATATTTTTAAACTTGACAATTCATTTCCTCCTTCTCTATGCAATGACAATATATATTATTATATTTACAATCAATATGCATTAAAAAAAATAAGTTTGGCTCAAACTTGAGACTGCTAATGATTGGCTGCATGAATATGATGTCATTTGGCTCTTCCTCTAGTTACTAATGGGGTTGTTGATATTGAGCTGGATTTTCACTGCCCTGATTCAGTTTGCAGACTGAAAATCTTTTCTTGGCAGGGCAGGCCATAAAGTGAGATGGTTACAGTATTTTTGGAGAGTGAGCTGAGAAGTCATTTGCTGATACAACCAGTATCAGTGTGTTTTCAGTGGTTAATTTGTTTCCCCTATGCATCCTGCCTTCTGCAGTGTGGAGAGTAATATGTGCTGTACAAAGTTAAAAGGGATGTTCTTGGATCAACTATGCTGTGCTGAACCTGTGCAGATATGTCGAAAGCAGCCTTCTACCACTCTGTCCGCCCCTCTCTTTATAGAACTTGGGGGGACATTGTGCTGCAGTGGGGTTGTGCTCACCCTAATAACTGAACACAGTGACCAAAGGAATCTTTCTCTCTCTTTTTGCAGTTCAGACTTACTAGGTTTTCCCATTGCCTGCAAGAAAGGCAGAGGAAAATGTGAAGTGGGGCGTGTGTCTGTGAAAATAGCAAGCAGGGGTAGGCACAGCAGTAGTTGTCAGGGGAAAACTTTGGAGAAACCTTTTCTCCTCGAGAAAAAGATGTAAACTCATGTATCTAGCTGGGAGGGGTGATTTTTTTTTTGAGCGATAAATGATTGACAGGGATTAATCATCATCTCTGCACACATTTTTTGTTTGCATTAAAACAGTTTGGAAAGTTACACAGAACTGGGTGAAATGTGTGTTTATAGACAGAAAGTTTGGTTACGGACAGAAAGCAATTGTGGTAACTCAAAGCAGTTTACATTAACAATTAAAAACAAAAACCTAAACACACACACATAAATGTAAAAGCTGTGGTTCATATCTTGTCATATTCTAAAAAGTATTGCCCAGTTTAAATAAGACCTCAGATGCAAAAAAAAGCGCACTCACTTATGTATGTTTCATGTGTCATGGCACTTTAACAACGCTTTAAGATACGATGGCTCTTTACAGGCAAAGCAATTTATGGCCCTGAGGAACCTTACTGGAGTGCCGTTGCTGTCAGCTGCAGAGCTTCAAGCCATGTGAAAGTCTGCATGGTTCAAGCACTGCTCATGCCCTTCTACACAGCACCTCACTACACAGTACCTGCTATCTATGCACCCCAGTGATGACATAACTTCACACCTGAGATGGACCTGACCCTATGTTGACAACTGCTAAACCCACATCACAACCACAGAGCACTGCATGTGGCATGTCTGCACTAAATCACTGCACACACAGCCACTAGGATATATAAATAGAGACTACAACTCAGATGATACGACACAGATTATGGGACTATATCTTTCTGGCTCTATGTTTTGCACCTTTGAAGGCAAAGTAGATGTTTATCTTGAAGTTTGGCTTCGCGTAGCTGATATATGTTTCACAAAGAGCTGGCACAGGAGGGTCCAGGATGGATGGGCAGCATGGTTTGGGGGAAGAAGGGCTTTAACTCACTGCCCTAGCTGTGATGGTAATCAGAATTGTCCCCCACCATGTCAACAATTTGCAATGGAAGCAAAGCTCCCATTGGGGCTCTACAGGATTTCTCATATAAATTTGTGATTAAAAAACCCCCAAATCCTGGCAAATTGCCATATTTTCCTTCTACAGATTTGTTTCATTTATTAAGTAGGTTAGTTTTGATTTTGTATAAACTTTGTTCATGAGTCACAGTGCTTGCTTGAAATATCAATGTTACGAGCAGAATATTTACAGATAAATATCTAATTTGTGTTTTTAGGCATTAGTATCTGATATACACCACTTCTGTAAAACTGAAAGTTCAGCTCAGTCCATAAGAAATTAATTACCTAATGCAATTTGTTTTGCTTAGAGCTGCATCTGAGGAAGCTTTAGATAAAGTGAATGCAGGGTATTGACATGTTGAAAATACTTTGCACCAATCCTGTGGAAGTCTGAGGGTATTTCTCCTTCCCATTAAGTTTCAAGTGATACATTTTATTGAATTGTATATGGAAATGAACAGATAAATCAATATAATCTCTCCTATTTGTTCAAATACTAAATCTAATTTTGTGTGCTCCCTACACTTTTCTATTTTTATCAAGATCCATTCTTGTAATTAAATATGTGTGTGTGTGTGTGTGTGTGTGCCTTTCAAATTGAAACCTCATTATTAAACTACAAAATGCATATATTTCTGGCTTACTGCTGTATGAACCATCCTACTCTTCCAGCTTTTAAACAATTCCAAGGAAGAGTCCCAAATTCAGGTAAATTAAGTAAACATAAATGGAATTATATACAAAACAATGGATTGCGTGGTTGGTTAATTTGCAGCATTAGGAACACTCAAACCACCCACTTTTCCCATTTAACAAAAGCAAAAGACAAGTGGGCCTCCCTTTGAAAGGCACTACTTTCCTGTATGTAGGACCAGGACAAGGGTTTTCACTACCATGACCTGCTTTTGACTTTCCTTTGTCAGCACCTGCCAGTTTGTAAGCACATACAGAATGTTGGATTGCATGGACTGACTTGGCAAGATGTTTATGCTGTTACATTATGATCCAAATCAAACAGAAGATACTCAACATCAACATAGAGACTAGAACAAATATAGACACACAGATACGGGTGTTTCTGAAAACATAGAAGGGATATTGCCCGCCCTCCCATCCACTCCTTTAACCTTTCAGAACTGGTGTACTTTGGAGATTAGGTATTTTATGGTAAGTACTATCATTAGGATAAAAGAGCAACACCATTGACGAGCTGGATGGAGATAGACTTGAGCATTGAAAATGCATTTGTGCATCTGCAGTCACATAAAATTGTAACTAAACCATAGTAAATGTAGGTACATTCAATATGAGTTCTTTCTGCGGGGTGGGGGGGTGGGAGGAGACTTCAGCAGGTGCAAGGAATTCCTTGCAGGCTAAGAACATAGAGACACAGTAAGATGTAAGGACAGCAAAAGCACCACTCTTGTTTTTCATTACAGGAAACGAATACTCTGGAAGGCTTGAGAGCGAGGTGCATGCACCTTCGTAACAAGACAGGATGGAAGCATACCAGTAAATTAAGCAGGGAGGCAGCTGCCAACACAATAAACATGTGAGTAAAAGAATATTTGTGCCATCCATGCTGCCAAACTGATGATAACATATGGCCTGCAAGATTTTGAACTATTTTCTGAAAACACTCTGAAAAGGCTCTGTGCCTCACCATGTACACATTGTTGTCAAGTGACATGACTATTTAGAAGGATACACATTGTTAATAATTCCCAGAAGAATGGCTATCCTTCTCTGTTGCAGAAAAACAACTCCTTAGAGACCAACAAATTGCATATCTTAGAATGGACTACATGAAAGTCAGTTTCATTAGATGCATGAAGTCTTATCCTGAGTTGTGTGTGTGTGTGTTGTAAAGAATGAGATAAGAAGGAGAGAAATGCAGAAGGTACAGACTGTGATGATTATATTATTAACTGTAGACACACACATACACACAAAATTGTTATTGATCCTGGCCCTGCTAAATCAATTTGTCTACCTGGGACATAGATCACTTGCTTGTTTGGGACAGAGTTGCACTCCTGATTAGCAGGTACATAGTGGGGTACTCCATCTCTGTCACTAGAAGCCTAAGTTACCTTTTGTGGTCAAGAGGTGTTTTCTACCAGTTTGGGCTGGTGCTCAGTTGTGACTGCAGTGGTCCATGCATTGGTAAGCTCAAGGCTTGATTATTGCACTTTCTGTGAAGCTGCCCTTGCATCTGGTCTAGAAGTTTCACCTAGTGGAAAATGCAACAACCAGACTGCTCACAGGATTAGTGGCCCCAATCGCAGCGGTGCAGGGTAGGGGATGGTATGGTGTAGGTGGTGGGCAGGCCGGGTAAAGAGCAGCTAGTGACTATGCCATGGGCCAGCCCCTCCTTCATCCTTGGGAATTACGGTTGTCCTTCAGTCAGCCCTCAGGTCTGTGGCTGCTGTTGCTGAATGTCAGGTTGGCTTGGAGCAGGCATAGGCAAACTCGGCCCTCTAGATGTTTGGGACGACAACTCCCATCATCCCTAGCTAACAGGACCAGTGGTCAGGGATGATGGGAATCATAGTCCCAAAACACCTGGAGGGCCGAGTTTGCCTATGCCTTGCTTGGAGTAAGGCCTCACTACACATGCCTAATCAAAGAAATTAGATGCTGTGAATTGGATCCTATTGATTAAAATATATTGTTGATTTTGTAATGGATAGGTCAAGTTCATGAAACATTTTGAAGTGATTTACTGGTTCTTTGAACAGGACAGTGTTAACTGGTTGGTGAGCGAAAACAAGAACCACCCCTTGTTTTCTTTTCAATGTGAATTCGAGTTTTCCAGACTCGACTCACCGCTGCCCCACCCCTCAAATCAAGCTAAAACTGACTTAGACAACTGGTTGGTGTAATGCCAATATCTTCAGAAGCAAATTGAGACAGAACTAGATTCTGAAGTAGGAGACATCTCTTTATAGAATAAAGCATTAACTAGTAATAGGGCTTTGCAGGGAGCTGTCATAATTAATAAGCACCCGCGCACAAGGCTTGCTTTGTTAAATACAGTGTAATCCTTACAGGAGTTATTGCATGCAATAATTAACTTGATTACAGAAGGCAGAAGGGGGAAAAAAGTCTCAGACTAATCAAAGCACCCTCTGTAACTCATAGGCTTTAATAATCATTATTTTCCCTCTTACAAACTGCAGGTGCTTCGTTATGAGTTTTGAGAATAACTAAATGCTTGTCCTTAAGATTTGATTAATATTTAGGAGTTGTTTTAACGTCACAGAAAGCATTAATCAGATCTTTAATTTTTGGATCATTTTCCTGTTTGATTGGGGATAAAGTACTCATCAAAATGAATTAAACAGGCCATTTCAGTGCAGAAAGTTTGGCTAGTTCCTGGCTGTGGAGTTCAGGGCCATTGTGTGTGGTTCAACTTTCTTCTGAGGGAGGAAATACTTTGTGAAAATAATGCAGGTATAAAAAAAATTAAGGACTGTGCCACAAAGTATTTCTCTGAGGCTGTAATATTATTATCCACTTAAAATAAAGGGATTCTCTAACTCTTACAGCGCTGTAGTTACTCGCAAAAAATGCATGAGTCATATTTCTAGGATTTTGAGACGTTGCTTTTTGGTTGACACAAATAAGGGGTGCATCAGTTCTGGGTGATCAGAGCTCTGCAACCTAGGCATTTATTTATAAAGAAATGTCTACCTCACTTCTCTTTATAAATAAATCCTAAGTGGCTTACAGAATCACTAAAACACACCAACTCAATATATACAGCAATAAAGCCCAGTATATCTTTAAAACAGTATTGCATATTAGGAGCACCATACAAGTTTAAAAGCGGGAAGATAAACATGGTAAACAACACTGGAAATGTGACAAAATACAAACGTCTTGTTGAAGCTTAAAATAAAAAAGTAACCCTGTCCCAAGTCATGTAGGACTTTGTAGGTCATAATCAGTACTTCGAATTGTGTCCAGATGTGGACCCAGCCAGTAAAGCTGTAAGACTGGCCCTGGTCAGTGTTCTGGCTGCAGAATTCTTAAAGGGTATTCTGAAGTTTCTGAATACCCTTCAAGTGTCTCTAATTTCCAGGGACAGTTCCAGATTTAGAGATGCTGTCTCAGTTTCTGATTTGATCCCAAAATGTTCCGCTTTTCCTTACAACTTCCCTATTTCCATTGGAGAAATGTTGGAAGGTATGGAGTTATCCGACCCCATAGCCATCTGAAGCAGGCATCCCCAAACTCGCCCCACCAGATGTTTTGGGACTACAACTCCCATCATCCCTAGCTAACAGGACCAGTGGTCAGGGATGATGGGAATTGTAGTCCTAAAAACATCAGGAGGGCTGAGTTTGGGGATGCCTGATCTGAAGGCAGCCCTGTATGGGGAATGTTTTCTATGTTAAATGTTTTCTATGTTTTTATGTATGTTGGGAGCTGCCCAGGGTGGCTGGGTTTACTATTTATACGACTACTAATACTACTACTACTAATGGAATATTACATTCCCATTCCCATCAGAGAAATGTTGGAGGGCATGTCCTTGAAATGTAGCCCCATGTAGTCCAAATAACATTACTATGCACTACAGTAATCCAAACAACATGTATAGGTGGTTTCTATGGCCAGACTGCATGTGCTGATTCACCAACACCACCATTTGAAGTCGGCCCCGTCAATCAGGAAATAATTTTAGCCCCTCAAAAATTCTAATGGATCAATACAACATGTTTATTACTTTAACAGTGAAATCCTAAGTAAAATAATAGTATAATCATGGTTAATAAAAATGTGCTTAATAGAAATACCAGGAAAACTATAAGCTGAGAATCCCCCCCTCCCATGCCATTAGGCTGAAAATAGCTGGGGACTTCTAGAAATAACCAATTTTCCTTCCATGAACCAGAAAGGTAGAGATATAAATTTACTTTGAAACCATGATAATGGCAATCCAAGTGATGTTGACATCAGCCTGGTGTTTCTTGCCATTGCTGAAAGAGCAACAGTTACTGTTTAATTCTAATGCAGTAAGATAGCCTGCAGCTAAATAATACATTTCTGTTAACAATTATTTAGCACAATCCTGAACTGCAAATAAATTTACATAAAAATTTGTCTCTTGTAGAGAGTACTTACAGGGAATGTAATTGGATGTAGAGAGAAATAAAATGGCTCCAAATGGATGAAATGTTTGCATTACAAGAGCATTAGCATTCCAAAATCCTTTATAGAAATATAAACATATACATTGCAGTGTTTAAATACTAAGCAGGCATATATAATATTTAATGATGTGCCATCAAAGCTATTGCTTTTTGTACAAAAAAAGAAATGTATGCATTGGAATACTTTTTGAAATCCCACTTCTATCTTATGCAAGGCTGGAATATCAATTTTTACCCTTGCATCTCCTTTCCTCCTCTTGCTTCCCATTCTTATTTCTACCATTGTCAAATTTCAGGCAGCAAGTTTCTTGAAGAATGAGCCTTCCAATTTTGCCTAGACTGCTTTGTAAAACAGCATGTACAATGAAGATAATAATAATAATAATAATAATAATAATAATTCCCAATGATCTAGACTGTACATTCTACTTTGGGATGCTTCTTTCCCCTTTTGTGTGTGGAAGTAGTTTATTCTCAAGTTCAAGGTCTTAGCTCTTATGTTCAACCATTGTAACTTCTATTATCTGTGATCAGCGAAGCTCTAGAGTGCTGGTAGGGTTAGCCCTTACACATTTTCAAAAATAAGGAAATGCATCAACAAAAAAGGGATAAAAGAGGTCATATATTTGCATATGCTAATTTATTTGTTAATTTGTACAAATTTAGCAATAATGACTGTAATTTTAAATTGAAATAGGGTGTTTTGCATCATAGTGGGGGAGACTATGACTTGTGTGCCTCCTCAGTCTGCTTTCTAGGTGCTGACTGTTGGAAGGATACTTGAAGGCCGTTGTACTTCCTTCTTATGTTTCTTTTGAGCTGTAATTAGACTGGACAGTTGGTTTAAACAGAGGACTCCTTCAAATAGAAGATTGCCTTCTGTAAAGAAGGACATTTCACCACCTTATGCACGTAGAATTATTGTTGCTAAATACTGTGAGCAGATTGCTTGCTTAAGAATAAGACCTAGTTAGAAACCTACCTGCAGTTGTAACGTTTGGAACTGGACACTGCACGGCGCTCAGAAGAGATGTGATTATTTAAAACAGTGTTATCTTTCTCTTTGATTTGTCAGTGAGGCTGAATCATCTGCCTGACCCACTTAGCTCCAGAGGTTACCACTTTGGAGTGGGAGCCTGCACACAGCAACCCCACTTTGTGTATGAACCAGACCTAAGTGAAGAAAGAAATGTATGAATCCACTCTCGAAAGTGCAGTTAGAGTAAATCTGACCTCTTTACAAGCTGGAAGTGGAGCAAATCAATTTTTTTTTAAATAAACACTTTAGAGGTCAATGTTACATAGCAATTCATATGGGCTGGCATTTAAGCAGAGATTAGCTTATTCATGAGAGGACAATGACTGACGCCTCCCCTAGCAAGAGGACTGAGGGCATGGAAACACCAGAGAGCTGTTATTTAATGGACTGCACTAAATGTCTTAGACTTTAAGTTGTAACAATACTATTTCTCATTTTTAGAAAAAAAAATATTGTTACTGTACAAATAATAGAACTGGGTGATAACCATACTAATGTTAGCTGTACTTGAAGCAGACTCATTGAGTAGAGTGTGACACCTCTTGAGTGTGACTTTGTTGGATATCACCCAGTGTTTCTCCATAATAAAATACTATTTATTAATATTCCAACATATTTCTTGGGCTTAGGGGTTGGCTCGTTGGGATATACTGTAAACACATAGGGTGTCATACAAACCCAGCAATATGATATTAATAAAATTGATATTGCTGAACAGATTCTTAATTTGAATTATATTGCATTTTCCCCACCATTCTGGTTAGCTGATATGTAGAACAAACTTGAAAGTATTTTTTTTAAAGGCTTCAAAGCTGCTTAATTGGACATAGTTTAAACATGTTTGTTAATTATTCCCTACTTTAAATCGTGTCATGTGCAGTAAAGACTGAGAGGCTGCATGCTCAGATTTCAACATTAATCTAGCCATTCAAATAATTGCAATTAATGTATCAAAATTTGCTATTTAAATTGTTGTAATTGCACCCAGCTGCATTCAAGTGGCCTTATTATTCTTGTAGGGCAAGGGAAGATCAATAGATGAACATCCTCACTGTCAGATCTCAAATACTTTTCTGGTGCTGCTCTGCCTTGCACTCTTACACTCATAAGAATGAATTGCAGTTAAATATTTTGACCTAACTAATCTGTGATTCCTCGTGAAGTCTCAGAATACTATAATGCTATATAAGCTGTTATTGCAGAAACCTATGCCAACGTCGAATTTTCTAGCATTGTTTCTTTCTGCTCTGCATAATTATGTTTAAATAAAGCACAGAGAATATAGGAATTATTGTAAAATACGAAGATTGCAATAAAACATTCATTATAGGGGCAGTATTCCAACTGGACAAGCAGCTCTTCGGTTTGGGCTAAAGGGTAGTAAAGGCAGAGATAGCCTGATGTTAAATTTAGGTGATAAGATGCCAGAAGGGCATGTATGGAGCTGAATTAGGATAAAGAAGGATGTTGGAAGAAGATACATACCGATGCAAGGCAGAGTGTGTGCTCTGAGAACTGGGGAGAGGAAGAGAAAGTGTAAAACAAATATCACCTATTACAAGGCAGGAGAAGTGAAGGAGATTGCAGTGAATCAGGAGGTCATGTGAATCAGGAGGTCCGAACATGTGAAACTCAAGGATTTCCTAGGCAGTTCCCGTTTAATTCTTGGGCTTTTATTATCCACAGCACTCAGGGTTCTTCTAGGTCCCCTTGATCTCTATATTACATGGAACTAACACTGTGGTGTAGGGAGAGACATGTGCTAAGAGAGACATAATGTCCAAAACATAACAAGCCTCTGAAAGAAAGATTGCCACAGGTTGATTATTAGAATTTTACCTGTATTATAGTCTATATTCTGTTTTCGTATGCTGCTCCCTGCTTTGGGATGAAAGCAACACACACACACACACACACACACACACACACACTGGAATGGTAACTTGCAGCTAGTTGGAATTTTTATTACATGAAATAATGTCAGTCTTTCCTACAGGAAAAAGAGTTGAATTTTTAATATGGGATTTCCCCCCCCCCCAAAAAAAATGTTCCAAAAGAACTTTTACACACTGTATTTAATCTCTTTAAGAGAACATCCCAAATGAAAACAGGTATGCTTCTATCGTTCTTTCCTGATGGTGCTTGTTATTTCATGTTGACAACTTATATTTTCGCACTTCATCTCCGGATTAGTGCACTAAGCTGAAAGGTGACTTGTGCGCCTCTCCAGCTATTCAACATCTTTGTGCCGTCAATTTTCAACCACCAGGACCAAGATGATGATGTTGTGAAAAGGTGGTTTCTTCAATCAATTTCTTGATTGTACGAATTTTCACAAAGCTAGAGCTGTGGAGGTGGTGTCTGAACTCCATTGTCATCCAAGGTCATAACTGCGTCCTAAACATTTCAGAGAACTATAATGAAAAAAGTAATGCATGAATGTATATGGGTGTGGTGGAAAAGAAACACACGTTTAGTTAGTATATGGTTGTGATGAAGAAGTCAGATGCACAGTTCAGCCCAACTTTCATTCTCATTATTTGAATTGACCTTTTGGACTGAAAATTAAGTCTATTTCGTTTCTCTAAAACTCCTGTCAGACTGTTGGGCAAGACCCAATGGTGGGAGGGGAATCAGGGGACGGTGGCAAAAGTAAGTCACCCAGGAAGTAAGTGTGAGTGCATGTATATGTGTGCATGCGTACAAGGTTTTGAGGGTATTCTGCACCAGCAAATTATCAAACCACGGTAAAACATCACACATGATGTCTTTTAGTTTTGTTGTAGGCTTCAAATCAGGTTGTGTGCAATACTTGGGACCAAACTGGATTTGACTAAACTGGGAGTTCTGTGATTGGCTACCCCATATATATTTACCCTGTAGCAAAATCAGATAAGGGTTGAGGCACTAGCAAAGGGCATTTTCAACAAATGTAAGCAGGATGAGGCTTTCACAAATGACACTTTCCAGATGAAAAGGCATCATTTGGGTCAAACTAGAAATGACCTTGGGAGAGCCTTGACTTGGACTCCCATGCATTATGATTTTTAAGTAAAAGCAAATCACATTGAAGTCGCAGTCCTGTGTATCTTTAATACCTTCCCCCGTGCCATTTCTGGAGTATATACACCCCACACATCCTTGATGAACAGGAGACAAAATGCACAACTTTTCATCTTATGATATATTGGACGTTAATATAAAAGATGTGCAAAACTAGGATGTGCAAATCATTATATTTCCCAGTTCCCAGTGCCCAGTTTGGTCAGTTGGCACTCAAATGATCTCCTATAAATTCTAAGGTACAACGCACACTGTAACTGGAATTATCGCTGGTAGCACCCAAAAATAGTAATGTCCTCCAGAGCACATTCATTGAAAAGCATTGATATTTATTCAATTATTTGCAAGTAAGAAGCACATAGATTTTGTTTTCTATCAATCAGCCTGTTTTTAATACTGTAATCATTACATCAGTCAAAGAATCCATGTCAGACTTCTTCGCTATCAAACTGTATTCATTACTTTGTAGCTCAGACAACCTAATGATAGTACTGCCTGCTCAAAATAGCGCTTCGTTCACTTATATGCATTTTATAGATAATGAGCACGATCTATTCCCTTTCATGTGTGCACTTCTGCTTAGGTGGGGATGGTATTGTTCCTTGTAAAGTATTGGGGAACAAAGCTAAAAACTGTTGTAAGCTGACAACAATAGACCTGAATCATAATTAGCCTCCCAGCTTCTACCATTCCATTCCCTGCAGCTGGCCACTCCCCTTAACCCTTCATTTCCTCAAGCCCAGGCCTTAAAGGAGCCTTACTGTCACAGGGGTATCCATAGGACATCCTTGAGTTTCCCCACCTTTTTCAGCCACAGTTCTTTGGCAGGATACTGCTGTACATGACTTGGACATGGTGCCCAAACATCCTATTCGATTACTTCCAGCCTGCTTAAACTTCCAGGTATATACCATGGTATCATCAGGGAGAACAGTTCTGGTTGCCTGAATTTTATTTTTATATATAAATATCACAGAGAGCCATTACATCAGAATGGTATTCAATGGACTAGTTAATAGACTATAGTTTCCTTACTAAGTGAGTGATGTTCAGCAAATAACTGCAGTGCTGCTATATCAGTTGCAGGAAATTATGAGGGACCCAAGTTTGCCTACCTTGTGCATTTTGGATAGTAGCAAGAAGATACCTGGTTGAGGGGCCCATAGTGTGTTCTCTAGAAGTGTTTATAAGTAGTTTCTCCCCTATATCTTATACCCCTGTTTCCCTATGTATGCCAAATGAGAATAAGTTTGCATCATACTTCTTGAAACCTTAATCATCCAGTTTGTGTTTAAGGTGCCACAAGACATGCAAAGTTAGTTATTCTTGAATCTAAAAATGATAAATTGTCACACTATAGTAAATATAGTAGCAGCAAAGGCAAATTTTGTGTAATAACAAGAAGTGGCTAAGATACATGCCTTTGTACTCTTGCAGTACATCATTTTGTGGTGTGCAATGTGGCAGTCATCTTTGGTTGCACAACCATTCCTCCTTTTCAACCATTTCAGCCCCCAAGGACTGTTACAATTAAAGTGGTTTTGCTTATACTGCACATCTGTGAGCCTGCATTTATGAACTTCACTTGCCGGGAGTGTTTTTTGGAGAACAGTCTGCCGTTGCAGTGACTTCTTATTTGTAAACCTGAGCTTGTTAAATGCAAAGAGCTATATTAAGGCAGCTGTACTGTTGAGATTTATACTCACAAGTCAAGAAGTTCAAAGTCATCGTTCCCCTGACAACCATACTGTGTGTCCCCTTGTTCATACTTGATGACACAGTTTTATTACTATGTCTGTGTAGAGACTTGTATATATCAAGCTCTTTGTGCAATTCTGGCATCAGGTTTGGAGGCTTGTTTCAGGGTGGAGAAGATGGTACAGCAAAACAGCTATGCCGTATTAATGTCCATTCCATATTCTAAGGGCAGAAGGTGATCTCACTCCTTTTCATTTTAATTAATTAATTAATGCATTTACTTTACATTAATAGTACCATCAAATCCCTAAGGGTTATGGCATTTTTCTACAAAACTTGGCTGCTTGACTGTGGAATGAATACATCTGTAACTGCTGTTTGTGAGAGTTTGCAGATCAAGTAATAGAACATTGCACATACATCACCTCTGTGGGACCTAAAATTTGGGCCAAACAATGTATTTCAGTTGAAAAGAGTTATTTGGATGCAGTGACATGTAAGAGATAATAGAAACAGCAATAACCTCCCACTCAATTTCTATTTCTTCTGCCATAAAAAATATTTATTTTGATCTGTAGTTGTCATTATTTCATGGACATGGGGAACTATTACCACTGTGAACATGCTGGAGTTGAAAGGAAAGGAAAGATTGGAAACAAAGTGAAAGCCAGGGGGGAAAAGAGTACAGCTTCCTTCAAAAATAACCTCCAGTGCCTCTGTCCCTCTGCTGAGAGGACCACATTCTTCTATTCCCATTCAACTGGCAAGTGACCACACCTGCTGTTTTACCAAGGGACCAATGGGCTCCCAAAAGCTCTCTGGGTCTCTTACTTTAACCTTGCTGTCTCTCCATCCCACTTCCACTGCAGCTGGATGCAGATTTTTTAATCTCTTCTTTCATAGTTGCAAATCCCACTCTTCATTTAGCATCATGACCCTCCTATAAATTCCTCACCCACAGCCACAGGGAAGAATAGTTCAGCTTCTCATCTACATATGAGGTAGATACAGAGAAACAGGAGAAATTGAGTACTTAAACCATCCTATGAGGAATAACATATTGAAACCATTCCCACATGTATCTAAATCAGCCACTGTCCTCCTTTTAACCTATAGACTTCTATGAACAATGACAGGTTAATTCCCCTCTCACCATCTGCTACTGTAAAGACTGGAATATTTCCCTATTTTAAACTTAAGTGTTATAAAGTTATACTAATGTTTACATCAGGTATAGGTAATATGGTGTCTGTCAGATGTTGTGTACGAAAACCCTATCATCCCTGGCAATTGGCTGGGACCGAGAGTTGTAATCAACAGCATCTGTTGGAGGGTATAATGTTGGCTAGCCCTGGTTTACAGCATGAAGAGAAATTAAAGGTCTAAACTAGTCCTGAACAGCTGCAATTCTGCTCTGCTCTAGTAAAAAATTGTGTAGACTGCTATAGGCAGCCAGGTCTGAAGTATTAAAAATGCACTGTGTTATCAGACTCCAAAAAGGAACTGAAAAGAAAAATGCCAGAATGTAAAAAGAGTGCTTTTAATCCAGGCTCAGATATCTCATAAGTAACCAAATGGAATTTTAAAATAGCTACAAAAATGAACCTTTGGGCAAAACATATGTAGCACAAACTGCAGCCAAAAAGAAAGCCCTTTTTTTCTTGTTTGTCGTTGTTGAAAAGAAGGTTCCAAGTGCCTGCAAAGAGTGAGTGACTGAAAAATTACTTCTCATTACCCAAAATGGTGGAGATGCTATTTGCCAGCACAGTGCAATAATGTAGCTTGCCTTGTGTGCCGGAGAATCTTGCATGTCAAGCACCTGCCAGGTACTTTAGCATTTTCACTATAAATGAGATGTGTAGTAGTAAAGTAAAGCTGCCTGCTAAGAAGCTCAGACTGAGCCTTGGCACTTACTCTAAAAACAATACCTTTGTGAATATTCCAGAAGGCAATTTAATGTGATTCTTAGTTGATTAAAGTGTTTCTTTACAGCAGCTTCAATCATGGACTAACGTTGTATGTGGAAGAGTTTAAGAGTGTCTGATTTTGATAGATATTGCCATTGAATGCTTTCTGACTGAACAGAGGAGAATGTGGTGGTATCTCCTTCAGATTTGGTGTTAGCAAATATTCTTACAGTCTTGTTGTTTTAAAATTACCGTCTATTGAATAAGAACTCGAGTATAACTTAATAGCATATATTAACTAAAATTGTCATGAGTAGCCATTGGCAACATGCTGAGTAAGCTCATGAAATATAAATAGGCATTCTTCAATATGTGTCTGACATATCAGAACTTGCTGCAGTATAACTCAGTTGGACATTATCCATGCTGACTGTAAACAGCAGAAGACCTCAGTGAAGAGAATACTAGACAGTTTTGAATCTGAATTTGTGGAAGAAAAGTCATCTTCAGTCCCTGTACTAATTGCCTAAGAACTCCTACGGTTAACAAATAAATTGTATCACCTGTTCCCAAGTTTTCCGATTTCACTTCTTTGAGCAGGGAAAACATGGCATGATGTCAGATACTTATTGAAGAATCCTACTTATTTACATGAGTTTACTCAGAACATTGTGGTGGCTACTTGGGGCAATGAATAGATGAGGTGCACCTTATCAGTTTAGTTTTAACAGGTGTGGGGCCGCTGTTTTGGGAGACAGCCACATGTCTCTTGTGACTTCCTTTGTCTGCACAGACAACGTGCATGCTTCCTTCTGACCTATTTGCTTTCTATACTGTTGCTAATGATAAATGTCTGATCTCATTCATCCTAGAGAGCTTTGTTCTTTAGAATGTTTCCAGACACAGGGTTTTGCAATCTAAATTTCAGCACTGGTAATGTGCACTGTCTACACTGAACAGTACTGAATGCAGCATAAGTCTCTCAGGGTCTGCTGAGAACAGCTCTGGTAGCTTTGAACTCTCACAGCAAGGAGTACCTTTTATTTGGAGCTACTTCCTCTTGCTTTATGGTTGGATGCTACTATCTCTGTTGGGAATGATGGCCCAGTTTGGAGTTGCTAATCCATAGTTTAGTGCTCAGTAAATGAGCCTACTTGAGCCTCAGGCAAGAGCGCTCCACTCTCCTCTTCCAGCATGGATGTGAGGAGATCAGAAGCATATGATTTCAACATGGCCAGAATTGTTGTTTTGTCCAAACTCTGAACTCCGGTTAATTTAAACCATGGTGTGTTGAAAGAAGCCAAGGTCATGAAACCACAGTTTCAATAATCCATAGGTGAAACCCGCCACAGTTTGACTTTTTTGGGGGTGGGTGTGTAAAGAATGATTATTCTAAATGATGAAATGGATGCTTCTAGTTTCCTTGTGGCCACACTGCAGTAGGACAGGATTGGGATCACATAAAACAAATTGTTTGTTTAGCACTATGGGATGTGGGTGGCGCTGTGGTCTAAACCACTGAGCCTCTTGGGCTTGCCAATTGGAAGGTTGGTGGTTCAAATCCCGGCTACGGGGTGAACTCCCATTGCTCGGTCCCTGCTCCTGCCAACCTAGCAGTTTGAAAGCACGTCAACGTGTCAGTAGATAAATAGGTACCGCTGCTGCGGGAAGGTAAATGGTGTTTTGGTGCACTGCTCTGGTTTTGCCATTAGTGGCTCAGTCATGCTGGCCACATGACCCAGAAAAACTGTCTGCAGACAAACGCTGGCTCCCTTGGCCAGTAAAGCTAGATAAGCGCTGCAACCCCAGAGTTGTTCGCGACTGGACTTAACTGTGAGGGGTCCTTTACCTTTACCTTTATGGTTTCATCTTATGTCTGAACCGGGTATTTGACTATAAGAGTTGTTCAATAGGGTCAGAATTCCCTGTTACTTATCATCGAGTGGTTTTTGCTGCATCAACACTAGGTCTTGAGTATTATAGTATGGTGGAAGCTGTTTCCTCACACTCCAGATTTATTAAATATATTGATTGCTGCAATCTAGCTTAATGGTTTCCCATTAATATGATGAGTGGATTTGTCTAACTGACCTCTGTGCCCTTTTGAAAACTGATGCCTATACCTGTGGCATTTTTCTAATAATGCAATTACATTAGATATAAAATTCTCCACTGACTTGTCCTAATAAGGAAGTTAAAAATTCTAGTCACCTAATTTACATCCTATTCCTTAGAAACTGTTTTTGTAAACCTTGGAACTGCTTATGCTTTTTCCAGTCTCCTGGTACATTCTGATATCTAGATTTCCTAAAAATAGGTTCTTACAGGTCACCATCTTATGTCAAATATAAGCTTGTCCCAGAAGCTTCAGAAAAGGAACAAAAGATCCAAAATGGCCAATTATACAATAGTTTCCCTATAAGAGTGTTTTTGTAGTGGAATATTGATTTAGGTCTTCAAATACAAATGTTTATCCTTGAATGCCTTTTAAAATAAAATCTTACCAAACATCATTGAGTATACAGTGCACAGCAGTCCTTGGCATCCTGCAGAGTTTTTCTTAGAAGAAAGATGAATGTAAAGTCTCTTGGCTAGTAACTGATTTATAGAAAGTTGAACCACTTTTAACTTCCATGCATTTTGTCCTTGGTTTGTTGTGTTTGCAATGCAAAAGGGCATTTTCTTATTGTGCAGGCCTTATATTTCAGACATTATTTTTTGCTCTGAAAAAGATAATATTTTCCTCCATTATTTCTCTCTATCAAGGCAGCTATATTCATAATTTCTTCATGAAGGGTAGTCTTCTCTGTCATTCGTCTTACCAACTGTCTCACTTTTCAGATATTCTAGTTTTTAAGCCTGTCAGGAACGCAGTATTAATATTACTCAAAAAGATCTTTAAAATGATTTGTGATGGCAGTGGCATTATAATAATGTTCTTTGTATTGTTTTCTATCTTATGCAAAACATAATGTTCAGTTTGTTCTCTCCCTTTATAGCATAAGTCAAAGATGAGAAGGGGTAGTACTGAAAATGATGCTTGCTTATTTTCACAGTTCATAGAGTTCATCATAGAATGGTAGAGTTGGAAGGGACCACCAGGGTCATCTAGTTCACCCCTGCAATGGAGGACTCGTTTATCTAATGTGGGGCTCAAACCCATGACCCAGAGATGCAGAGTCTCATACTTTACCGACTAAGTTATTCCCTTCTTACCTTCTTACTGTAAAACACAGAAAACGCTCTCAATTCAGATGTGGACAATTCTTGAACAGGCAGTAGCTTGTGTCCTCACATCTGCACTTGTGTTGGTTCCTTCTCCATTTCCTGTTTAGCACTAATTACAGTTTGGCATGGCATCCAAGTTGGTTAGCTGTTGCCCTCTGAATTAGAAACCTGCATTAAACAATAGTTTCCAGTTCTGGTTTGGAGGTCAAGGACTAAGGAGGACCCTTTCACTGTATGGCCCTATGGGGCTGGTGCCCCTCCAGCCTGAGAATGTGATACTGCCATCCTTGGACACAAAGGGCTCCAGACCAGAATATGCAGTGAGACCCTAAGCTCCCCTGCTCTGTTGCAGCAGGAGAATTATGCAGCAGGCTCGGCCCCTTTAATTGAACAAGCACCTCCCAGTGCAGGCAGGTCTAACAGTTGGAATGCAGCTGTTGCTACTATAGATAGGACTTGGTCTCTGTTTGTTGCTTGCTGAAGCCACATCAGAAAAAAGCCTGCACCCAGGCTAAACCCTGCCAATGGACAATGGGTAACTGTGTGTTTGATACTGAATGAGTGCATCATATTATTTTTGTCCAAAGTGATGCAGACCTCAGCAGTGAAGGGGGAGGTGTGTCTGTGTTTCCCCTCTGGCCTGCTGGTTGTTTTTCTATGTAGATAGCTGATCAGGAGCACACAGGATTTTTTAAAAGGCTCATCCTGCAAGATTTGATTCAGAATCTTTTGCCCTACCAGTTCTGAACTATGGTCACTGTTGCCTTCTGTCCCCTGAATTCTGCACTGTTATATGAAATCTGGATTTGGGTCAGTGCTTGCAGTCATTTCTTTATCCTCCCTATAGGCTGTACTTGCAATTTATCTCACAATACACAAGCACATAGATTCTAAGTATTAGTGAAGCAAGCACCTGCAAAATCCTTAGCAATTATAAGTTTGCTGAAGTATCTACCTAAGATATTGGAAAAATAAAGCAATATGTTTTGCTTCACATTTTCATTCTATTTTTGACATGTACTTGCTCAGTAAAGATTAAGCCAATGCTATCCAGCACTTAAAATTAATAGTGTATTTGAACATACATAATTCATATATGCACACAGACACAGCAGGGGAGGAGGAAATCACATTTGTTCACTTGAGCCTCAATATCAGCAGCAGGTTCTCCAGAAAGCACCAGTTCTGAATAAGTCTCTATAAAATTTTAAAATCCCCTGGTTTCAGCCACCAGATTTCTGGGGCTGCAGGTATCTTGAGTCTTCCCTTTAATTTCCTTAACCAAGTTACTCTTATTTTTCTTTTCCTCATACGCTTGTGAAATTGTGGGCAGAAAATTCCTGCCTTGCAGGGGGTTGGACTAGATGACCCTTGCAGTCCCTTTCCAATGCTACAATTCTGTGATTCTTCCAGTACTTTGGGGCTTTCTTGCTTTGTGTTTAATAGCATTAACAAAGACTCCAAAGGATTACAAGTACATTTGTGTGCAGATAAAGCAATGTTTCTGTTATGCACAAAGTCTTTGTAGTAAAAGCACGGAAGAGAAAAGCCTCGCAAGACAGAAATGTTATTTTAAACATTACAAGTTAAGGCTTAAGGGCTATGCAATCAGATAAAAATGCTTAAGATATATAGTGTTCACAAAGCCATGAGCTTAATAGTGTTTATTAGAGATGCTAGTGAAGCTTACTAGGCTTATTATCCCCCCTCAAAAATGAGCTTCATGACTTATGAAACCTCTGATTTCTGCTCCAACTTGAGCAGGAAAAGAAAATCCTGGTGCTGGAGCTGGAAAAGAAATCCTGGTGCAATTCAGCAGACCCCTTCCCTTCCATTCAAAAGCTGCCAGGGGCAGAGGAAGGGGGAGTGCCCTAGGGGCGGAATTGCCCGGGTGTCACCACTGAGGGGGGTGACAAAATGCTGGGTGGCACTTACCGTGAGGCCTGCAGCGCACCCGAGCCACGCATCTCTCCTGGGAGAGACATGGTGGCTTAGGCTTAGGCCCAGTATACCTGAAGGAGCGTCTCCACCCCCATTGTTCTGCCCGAACACTGAGGTCCAGTGCCGAGGGCCTTCTGGCAGTTCCCTCACTGCGAGAAGCAAAGCTACAGGGAACCAGGCAGAGGGCCTTCTCGGTAGTGGCACCCATCCTGTGGAACGCCCTCCCATCAAATGTCAAAGAGATAAACAACTACCTGACATTCAGAAGACATCTGAAGGCAGCCCTGTTCAGTGAAGTTTTTAATGTGTGACATTTTGATGTATTTTTAATCTTTGTTGGAAGCCGCCCAGAGTGGCTGGGGAAACCCAACCAGATGGGTGGGCTGCAAATAATAAATTATTATTATTATTATTATTATTATTATTATTGGCGTGCGCAAGCTCCACGCTGTCCAAATGGTCCACCCACTGCCTCCCCCTCAACTGTAGGGCGGCTGTGTAGGAGGAGGCAGGCAGACTCCTCAAAGACCCCGCGGAACATCCTGCCCCAGCTGGCCCTGCCCCACGGGTGGCTGGCCCCACCCCTAGGCGCAGAACATGCACGCCACCCCAGTCACCCGAACGGCTTGCACCGCCGCTGAAAACTGCAAAACTCCCAAGGGCCTGTGGAGCTTTTTGTCCTGTGCAGCACACCAAAGAGGGGAGGGAGGGCCAGGAAAATCTTCCCTCTTATCATATGTAAGGGTTTTTATAGGAATCAGAACTATGTTGGGTGCTGAGCATAATTGGATTGGAGCTGGGGAAACTATTTATGGTTTTGTTTTATTTGTTTATTTAACAAATCTGCAGGCTGCTGCACAGCATAAAGCCTTCAAAGCAGTGTACAAAATAAAAGCTAAGTAAGACACATGTTTTGAAAGCAATAGAATCATTTCAGAGAACCATATAAACAATAAAACCATCATTGCAAATTCTAACAAAACAATAAAAACATTTCTGCAGATATATTTAACTGATACCCTATAAATGACTGGGTTACACCTCAGAAAAAAAATTCTTACACAAAAATTTCTTTGCTGGGCACCCAGGCAGCATGATACAGACCCCTGAATTTTGGCTATTAACCGATTCCAGAGAACCAGAGCTAGAACACTGCAAGCCCAGTTTTGGAAATATTTCCAAGCTAATTTGGTGTGAACAAGAGGAAGCTCCTCCATCTCTAGTGCTTGTATTTCGGCGGGGGAGGGGGAGGTCTGGGAGGGGGCAGAATGCAGCAATGTGAAAACTGAGAAAGTTCCCCCTATTGACAAATTGCCATGGTCCAAGTGCTTTGAGTATCTTCTGTGAGGGTTTGTTTTGTTATATTACTGCTTTTTTTTCTATGCGGTTTTTCATTCTAAGTCCTTGTTGGAGTTGTCATGCTGAGGTCTCATGCGTTCAGATGCATTTATCACTGCTAAATGCTTCTTTATAATTTATATATCCAGCTGTGGTGAAAGCATGTGCTATTAGGAGACTGGAGGAAGAGGAGGCCTTTTTTGCTGGAACAAATTACTAGGGAAGAAGGTGGGGGGAGGGTGAGAGAATATTGTTGTAAAAAAAAAAAAGGAAAGAGGTGTAATCAACTGGCGTTTTTCTGCTATTATCAATAATGTGTTTAATAGGTCTTCTGACGCGAGCTTCTTTTTCATCTTGATCCTGAAGTACAAGACTTTGCTGTGATACAACATCAGTCTTACTCCTACTTATTCTCCTTACTTTATTTTGCTCTTTTTTGAGTTCTCGGGGGCCCAACTAGGTGTGACACGGGGAAAATATGTGATCAGATCACTTGATCTGTTTGTCATTGAATCATTCCAGGACATTGTGCTATGGGAGTATTTGTCTTTCTTTCCCCCCTCCCATTTTAATAAACATTTGGGGGACAATATAAGTCAGGAAAATGGATAAGAGGGAAAGGGCTAAGCCTTTGTCTACACGATTATGTCCCCTCTCAGTGTCTGCCTTTTATCAATGAAATAACACAGGGGATTTGCAATCATATTTTTAAATGTCTACTTTGCCCCAAAGTGTTACAGGTTTGGAAAAAAGTTGAGTACATCTGTCATAGAGTAGTGTAGGCTTATGTCTATACAAACACACATGTGTTACTTGTTTCTTTTTGTGTGTGTCCCTAGCCTTGGGAAAGAGCTGCATGGCATAGTATAATGGCAAAAAAATCATTGGAGAGAAACAATAGTAGTAAGACTGAATTGGGCGCAGGGAGGTTCATTGATGACTGAAAATGCAAACAGGGTCTTTTTGTGCAGAAAGCAGCAGCAGTGCAATTAAGGTTATTTGGTTTGCTGTAGCAGGGATGAAAGATAAAAACCTAAATAAGTACTTAAACATACTGAGATGTTGGCTCTTTGCCTCTGGCTTCTTATAACACATGAAAATGGGGGCATTGCAATGTTATTTTGATACCCCCCCCTGCTCTCATTGGTTTGTTCTGACAGATAATATTGATGAGATAGGATAGTTTTAACACTAGAAGAGTCCGAGACTAGGTCATATGATGGTCCATCTGTGGCACATTCTCTTAACTGACTGCCCTCGGGCAACTGGACATGGGAGGGTGTGTGTGTATGTAATATATGGGAGTTTGATCACATATTTTAATTCAGTTACAAATCCTACAAAGGCTGATACCTCACACCACCCACCAAAGGTCTGATGTATTCAGAGCCTAATTTTCAAAAGTCATTGAGCCTACATCTAGTTTCTGTACCACAGGAGAAATGCTGCTCTCACAGTGACTAACCTGTGAACAACAACAACAATTTTATTACTATTTATACCCCGCCCATCTGGCTGGGTTGCCCCAGCCACTCAGGGCAGCTTCCAACACATGTAGAAATGTAATAAAACTTCAAACATTAATAACAACAATCAGATCTAATATAAAAAGTCACAATAACTATAAAACAAACTACAAGAAGGAACTGAGCACAACAGCTGTCTCCTCACTTCTCATTGCCAAAAAGTGGTGCTCCAGACATGCTGTTTAATGTACAAGGGTTTAGGCATGCAGAGGGAAAAGGACAACAAAGGGTTAATTTCAGGGTGCTGTTTAATTTGGGCATGTTTTTGGCCTGCACCTGCAGCTAGTTAAGCATGTGAGAATGACTCATCACAATATACAGTATAAATGCTGTTGTGTTTGAAGTAAGTTTCCTCTTGGCCCAATGCCCTTGACCAGAGCATAGCCTGTGTATGCTGTAAGGAGCAAACTGTATGTAACTGAAACTGCACTGTACTGTCAGTAATGCAACTGAGGCTGGATCTAGACAGGGGTCAGCAAACTTTTTCCGCAGGGGGCCGGACCACTGGCCCTCAGACCTTGTAGGGGGCCGGACTATATTTTGGAGGGAACCCCCCATGACTCTCCCCTCCCTTCTCCACAGCACCAGACAAGCCCCAGTGGCTGTGTACCTGTGCCTTGTGAGCAACAGGGGCTGGCGGTGGCGGGACGATAAGCGGCGCAAAAGGGCTGGCTCCGGAGAGGGGCTACTTAAAATGGTGCTCAGCCAACCACAGTTCAACAAAGCCCAGCCCCCTTCCTTCTCTAGGCAGGGTGGGGAGAAGCCAGGAGGGAGGGAGGGAGGAGTGCTGCCGCGGTGTGTGTGTGAGGGAGGGGGCGAAAACGGTGCAGTCCGAACGATCAGAATCCCCATGGCGATTCCTGGACTGTCCGCGGGCCAGATCCAGAAGGCAAGTGGGCCAGATCTGGCCCCTGGGCCTTAGTTTGCCTACCCATGATCTAGACACATCAAAGAAGTGTTTCAGTTAAAAGCGTTGTAAATTTAAACAGGGAAAACGCGTAGAGAAAAACAGGGCTCCACATCACCATCTAGTGGCACAATGTTATATCACACATACAACGCATATAAATGTCTTTTTCTTTACCAATCTAGCTGAGTCCTGACCCATCCTAGAACTGTTTGGTCCTTCTCTGTTCTCATGGCACACCCCGTGCTGATGTTAGGATAGGCACTCTGCACACTGCCTCTGACAGTAGAGGAAGAACATACAGTAACCGCATATGCTCTGTGAATTTGCCCAATACACTTTTAAAGCCACCACAGTTGGTGGGAGCATATTGCGTAAAGAAGTAGTCTTTATGTGTGTGTGTCTGTCCTGAATATTCTGATATTCAAATTCAGTGGATGGCCCTAGGTTAGTATTATAAATGAGGGAGAAAAACTGCTCTTTCTCCACCCCATCATAATCTTATATACGCCTCTGCTGTGTTCCCCCTTACTCATTTTTGTCTACACTAAAAAGCCCCAAATGTTGCAACCTTCAGCTCTTGATCATTTCCGGTTGCTGAACCTTTTTAAGCTCTACAATATTCTTTTTGAGTTGAGGTAACCAGAACTATACACAATATTTCAAGTGTGGTTGCACTATAGTTTAGGATAACAACATTAGGTTATTGGCAGTTTTTACCTTCTACCCTTTTCCTGATTATACCTGACATGGAATTCACATTTTCTGCAGCTGCTGCACGCTGTGTTGATATTTTTTTGCCAAGTTATCCACTATGACCCCAAAGTCTTGTTCCTAGTCAGTCACCACCGGTTCAGATCCCTTTAGTGTTTATATGAAATTAAGGTATCACTCCCCGCCACCAACATTACTGCCCATTCACCCAATTTGGAGATAGCATTTTGGAGCTCCTCAGGATCCCTTTTTGTTTTTACCACCCTGAACAATTTGGTATGATCGTGGTGCTCTGTGGTTACCTCTTCGCATTGGGACCCATGCCAGAACAAGTAAAAAAGCATGGTTCCCAATACTAGGCAAGTTATGTGCTACTGGAATGTCTCGTGGCAAAAATTGTGTAAGGTAATATGAAAAAAAATATCTGACAAGCCCAGTAATAGCTTAACTGGGTAAAGGTTTTAGTAAAAACTTGCTTTAGCTAGAGCAAAATTAGTATTAAATGACACTTAAGAGTGTTTGAAATAAATGTCCTTCACCTATCATCACGCTACTGTGGAATATTTAAAGTGAGTCTTGAGAAACTATAATTTATTCGTTATTGCAAGTTTCTCCAGCAAGGGTAATTTCATAATGCACCAAGCTCAGTATTATAGAATTAATGGAAGTAATAATATTGAGTACTTTCTGGAGAGCTTTTTTAATATTCAAAGCAATTGACAAATGTATTGTGTAACGGCTGAGTAAGTAAAAGCAAAGAATTGTTTTAACTCTGAAGCAAAGTGTGTTTCAGCACCCATTATGGAAACATAAATGCTTTTGAATCTCTTTAGCAGATTAAGAAGATATATTGCTGGGTGTGAGAATGTTCCAAACATGCATCATGATCTTCTATCTTTTCATTCCTAATGACCGAATGCTTTATCCTAGAATAGCCAGAGGCAATTGCTTAAATAGCTGGCAAATTGGGTGCATGCAAATAATGTGATGCATTTGAATAATTTCTTTTTGCAGATGACCAAAAAGGATTTAAATGCAGAGGGACAGCTAGTTTTGTGTGTCAGAACTATGTAGCAACTTCAGCTCCTATGGAGTGAACAGTGCTTTAGTAGCTGATACACTAATACACAGCTAAGGCAGCACAATGAACCCTGCTCTGCTTCACTTTTAGCTTCCCGCTCTCTCAAATCTTGTAGTATTATCCAATTGCAACTGGATGGAACTGGTCTCATGTTGACACAATGCTAAATTATGATTTGGTGTTACTTGAAAGAGCCTCGGGCTCACACATCCTGTTCCCTCTCCTTCTCAAGCACAGCTGCTAGGAGAATACTGGAAGCTTTACTTCCGTTTTTAATTAAGTGCAGTTTAGTGTCTTCTCCAAATCCAGACAAACATTGGTTAGTTGAAACAAGCCAACTTCATACCATGATCAGCCACAGGTTAGGTTTCAAATACAGTGCTAAACGGTGGTTAATAATAATAAAAAAATAGATGCAGAAGTTTCTTATATCCTTATGAGTCCACTAGAGGAGGAGATGGGAGGAGGACTAGGCTTGTTCTCACAATGCTAAACTGTGTTTTAGCATTTTGTCCTACCCGTTCCATGGTCATTATTCTTAAAAATCACATGATGCCACTAATCCATTAAATCTGCCCATCTACTACCAAGCCAGGTTCAAGGTCCTTGTATTTACAATGCCCTGAACAACTTAGGTCCGAGGTACCTTAGGGACTGCCTATACCTTTATATCCTGGCTTGATCACTGAGGTCACCTGCAGGAGCTTTACTAGTCATCCCTCAAGCTGGTGAGGCTCATCTGACAGCAACAAGAAGCTGAGCTTTTAGTGTCATTGGCCCAGTCCTGTGGAATGCTCAGCTAATGTTTTAGAGATTCAGCAGGCAATTAAGAAAGCGTCTTTCCAAAATAGCTCATAGAATCATAGAATTTTAGCATTGGAAGGGTTGTGTAGTCCAGCCCCTGCAATGCAGGTATCCTGTCTACAGCCATCCCTGGGTGGGCTCGAACCACCAACCTTCTAGTTGACAGCAAGATGCACTAACCCATTGCACCACAGTGAGTTGGTTGATGTTTTAGGATTTAAAGTTTTCACATGATTTTTATTGTCTATAAATATTCTTGTTTTAAACTGCTTTGAGGTTTTTTTAACCAACTAGTTGTATATAAATATTTTTATTAAGAACAATGGGGATAATGCGGTTGAGAATACTGGAATGATCTTGGTGAGCAAAACATGAGAAAAATGGCATTATCCCTCACTGCAAACTAAATATATGTCCTGTTTGTATTACTGTGGAGAAATCAAAAGGTGAATGCTGGACTTTGGTTTAAAATTATTGCAGTGAACAGCACTTTAAAAATACGATTCAATCCAAAATCTGTTTGCAGGTAAATAACATCACAGTTAAACAAAGGCTTTTTGCATTGGTTTTCTCTTAGATTAGTTGCCAAGTTCTATGAAAATTGTAAACATGATGAATTTTGGGTCACTTACCTTTAACCCCATCCAATCTTTGAATGTTTAAATGATGTGCACTTAGGCACAAAAGCTTACACCTCATAAGGCACTTAACAGCCATATGACTTTATTGACCAGTTTCTCATCTTAGGAACTGAATGTGCTTATACTATACATTTTTCAATATGTTACTTTGTTCTTAAATGCCCCTGTAACCATGTCTTGAAGTCACTATGTTGTAGAAACTCAGTACGTGGGGTTCAGGGGGCAGAGAAAGTCCAGTATGATTATACTTTGCACAGTTGGACACTTCTGCACAACATCCTCATCCACTGCCTTCTGAGCAGCAATTGCTGCTGCTTTAATAGATAATCTGAGAAGCATTAGGCTCTGCAAATCGTATCTTATCAAACATTCCTGGATATTCAACAATTAAACTCTTGGCTATTTCATACACTTTGGGAATAGAAAGAAAAGCTCCTGGTTTTACATTATTGATAATTATAATTTCTCATTGAGATCACACATTTCATAAGGTAACTCTCTGTACAATGAAAGCAAAAAAGGTTTTTTTAAATAAAAAAAACCCAGTTTTAAAACATGCACTGAGGGAGACCATGCTTTGTATAGTGAGATCTTGTAGGATCACCAATGGAAGGCCAATTGGCAACAGGACATTTCTCTGTGATCCTGGTTAGCCAAGCCTTCCTTTTGACTTTCTTTTCTTTTCTTTATAGATTCAGGTAGCTAAGAATTTCTTTTATTCATCCACTCAGTTATCCTTTGAAATGAGTTGCTGCTGTTTCCATTTTGCAGCTGGAAACAGAGGTAGAAAGTTCTTGACCAAGCAAAAACTGAAAATTTAAAACACTGGATGGTATTCAGCTAAGTTCAACTCAGTGTAGACAGAATGAAATTAATGGAACCAACTTAGTCACGTTCATTATTTTCAATGGATCTACACTGAGTACCACCCACTTGCTTCATTCAAAACCAAGCAAAACAGTAATTTCCTGGGTGCAATTAGTTTTGTAGGTTTTTTAAAAAAATAATTAAAGAAACAAGTATTATTTACCAGGAAAATCAGGAAAACCTAAATAATTGATATACTGGTGAAAATTATTGAAGCTTATCACTTAGCCCTGTAACTTAGATGTATGTTTTACTTGCTTTGAAGTACCCAAAGCGAAACAAAAAAAGGAAAGTCAGATTCCATATGTGGATATAGCCAAAGCAGCAGCATACAGGTTAACTTTTACAGCACAGTCCTTTGCATGTCTACCAAGAAGTACCACTCAAAGTAGGTGGCTGTTAGTGACTTAATGGAAGAAGGAAGTTAGCATTGCTCATCTGCATCCATATCTGCTATGTGTATGTAAGCTTGATTTCTCTCTTGGTTTGGAACATATATGTTTAAAGCAGTTAGCAGATGGCTATTCAACGTGTTTCAGTTTTGTACAATATGTAACAATATGTCATATCAGGGAACTTAAGACTTAAGACTTGACTTAAGATTTTCCTCAATTTTTATGGATAAAAAGATTGAAAGTTTAAATTGCAACCCAGGCACTTTTTCCTCCAAGGGAAAAAATGCACACCATTGCAGAAAAAAATTGAAATCTTTAAACGGCCATAAGGTGTCTTTAGGAAAGGGTCGCTGCACGTGAGAGCTTGCAACCATAGAAATGTCAGAGAGATGCTGAGGCAGCAGGAGAATGGCAGTGTAAAATGTTTAGGTCAGTGAGGAACGATAAGCATAGTGATCAATAATCGAGTGATTTGTGAAAAGCTGTTGATGACAGTGGATTTAGCCTGGTACCAAAAGGGTACTATATAGGGAAGCCATTTTGGGGAAATATCTATGACATACACCAAAGGGTACAATCCTTAGCTTTGTTTTGCATAACGTTCATAATATTCTATTAGGTCCCCCCCCCCCCATGTAGATGAATTCTATTGCAGAAAAACTCAAGCCCAGAGGAGACTGCAGTCCTATTTATACTTATCTGTACCACTTCTGAATAGACGTGTACAGTGGTACCTCAGGTTAAGTACTTAATTCGTTCCGGAGGTCCGTTCTTAACCTGAAACTGTTCTTAACCTGAAGCACCACTTTAGCTAATGGGGCCTCCTGATGCCACCGCACCGCTGGAGCATGATTTCTGTTCTCATCCTGAAGCAACGTTCTTAACCTGAAGCACTATTTGTGGAGTCTGTTACCTGAAGTGTATGTAACCTGAAGCGTATGTAACCTGAGGTACCACTGTATAGGATTGCACTCTAAGAACCTTGAGGCTAACAAATTCACTTTTGCTTAAGTTTTCATGTGGCTGAACTCTGATTTAAGGTACCAGGCTTAAAGAGTCAAGCAAATTATGGAGTTAGGACCTAGTAACCCTAGTAACTTCAGCGATAATCCTCAGGAACCCTGACCCAGTTGAGATTTTTATAGTTTGGCTTAGTGACTGAAGTATGCACAAGTCTTTTTACTAATCTATTAAGCCTTTAGCTCCTTCCATTGTGTGAGCCACAATACGACTAGGAAGCCTCTAATTAAGTATAATTTCTTGTTTTTTGCCAAACCTGTGTTATTGGGTGTAATGAATAAATAAATGCTTACCAGCTTCAGAACCAGCCAGGATATTAAACAATAGTTTAGGGTTACCAGATGTCCCCATTTCCCGGGGACAGCCCTTGGATTTGCGAACAAATTCTGGACAAATTCTATCCCTGGAATGTCCCTGGATTTCATCTAAGAAATGCAGCAACGGCAGTCTTAGCAGCTTGGAGCAGTAGGCTCTGGCTGGCTTCAGAAGCTGCTCGGAAGTCCGCATATGATGGTGGTGCAGGGGCTCAAAGATGCAGCTTCCGGGCTGCCTCCACCCACCCAGACCCCAGCATCTAAGCTGTGAAGGGAGGCTTCATGCTGCCTATCGGAGCAGCCTCCCAACTCCTACTTGCGTGCAAGCAGGAGCAGGAGCAGGGCGGGGATCTCTCAGCTATGAAAGGAGGCCTCACGCTGCTTATCAGAGCTTGTGTGCAAGCAGGAGGGGGCAGGGATCTCTCAGTTAGGCAACGGGGAGCCTCCCTTCCCAGCTTCCCAGCATGCAAGTAGGAATGGGATTGGGGCTGCTCCGATGGGAAGGGAGGCATCATGCTGCCCGAGCCTCGCCACCACCGCTCTCGGCCCTCCTCCGCCTTCCATGCCTTACCCACAGTGCATCGCTTCCCCACCACCACCACCGAAGAACCAACAACTCAGGGGCTGCCCAGGCTCATGGAGAAAGGAGATAGAAGCCTCAGAGGAAGGGGAAACATGGTGGTTGAGGTCAAGGCGGCAGTGGCCCCTCTGCCCTGCCATCACTGCAGACCAACTTCCCGAATGTGTAGTATGTATGTATGTATGTATGTATGTATGTATGTATGTATTTATTTATTTAAAGTGTCCCCGGATTCATTGAAGAAAATCTGGTAACCTTACAATAGTTTGCAGTTGGTTTCAGATCTTGACTTGTTCCAAAGCTGATAGCCCTATTTTACTAGCGAAGGTGAAATGTGAAACTATGGTTAAATAGAGGCACCCTGTTTCAACTGCACTCTGCAGCAAAGGGAGGTGTATAAAGGGCAGAGTGGCGACATGGCTGAGATAACAATCATTTGAATGTGTCTGTCCATTGCCGAGGGCTCGCTGAGCTAGCTCTCACAGCCACATGACTCTCGTCTGCAGTTCAGTCTTTAATAGGATATTTGCTTGGAGGGCAGTATTTCAGCTAACAGAAATCTTCACAAAGGACTTTTAGCGAGTTTATCTGTGTCTTATTCTCAATTGGCTTGGATAATGAAGTTTAATTCAATCAAACCTCAGGAGAAGTTTCTGAATTCTCTCATGCACGATGCAAGTATTTGCTTTTCCACAGAGTCTGAGGTTAGTGAGGCATATTGGAAGAGTTTACTGACTGTGCTTAGATGAGCCACAGGGCCTTGGAAGGAGTTTGCACACTCAGCAGGGCTAGCATTAGCACTCCACAGAGCCTAAGCAAGAGAGTAAAGCTTCATTACAACAGTAGCTTCCAGGCTTTTGTTCCAGTTACCTTCAACATTTTCCAGTGGGAGGAGAGAAGCAAGTCTACATTTGATGTTTTCAGAACAGTACAGAAGAGCCTTGTTTCTCCTGCTTCTGTTTCTAGGAGCATGAAAAGAAAATGATCCCCCTACTTGCTTTTTCTCTTAAAATCATTTTTAAGGTATTGATGTCCATTAGAAAGAATGTAAGAACTTCACTTAAAAACCTCACAAGGGGGGGAATGGACACCAGGGAAAGGGGTTCCCAGCATAGCCAAAGTGGAATGTTACACTTTACGGAGGAGTAAACCATACTAAAGTATTCTTTTTGGCGCCTGGTAAAAACATTCTAGTTTAGACAAGCTTACCCAAATGCTTAGAAAGTTGAGGTAATTTTAATCAATTTCAGCATTTTAACTTTAAAACATACAAAAGTTAAAATTTAAAACACAAGTATGGATGGAGCCCTTCTGCTGATGGAAGCCTAGTTATGATCCAAGCCCATGGGCAGAACTGAGTTAATGAGCTCCATCAGCAGAAGCACAAAGCACAAAGAAATCTGCTTGAGTAATGGGGCTTCCCCCACATCCACTGTGCCCTCTGAAATTGGCTTGTTGGGGTTTGAGGAAATCCCCAGAACTGTGAGTGCACAGGGAAGAAGGGGGATTGATCCATCTGGTGAACTGAAATGCTTGCACAGATGGAACGTTCATAAATAGTGCAATGTTCAGTTCCACCCAAAGTCTGTAAAGCAATCTTCTTTGTAGTTATTTCTATTCAACAAGTACTGCTTTATAGTTTCAGCTGAACCCCTTGGGTCCTTTTAAGGTAGTAAATTTATAGTGCAATCCTATGCACGTCTACTCAGTAAGTTCCATTGTTTTTAATAAGGCGTATTCCCAGGTAAGTGCATAGCAGCCTTAATATTCTAAAAGAATATAACACAGACAACTTTACATTTTCTCTTCATACTGAGACCAACTCCAGTTGTTTTCGTTAGGATCCTGAGGCTAAGGGAAATAAGATGGTCACATGCACAGATATAGGTGTTGCAGAAATTATAGTAACTGCAGCATAACTTCTTAGAATTTGAATAGTGATGCTTATAAATCTGCTTATAAGCCACTGAAAGTGCTCTGTTTCCTTTACAAAGGATTATGAAAGAGATATGTATTGCTAATTAAATAACATATGTGATGGATTAGTGCTCATCTCTTTTTATAGAACTTAATTAAATAAATGAGTGCAGCATATTTTAACACAATTAGGCTTCCGTTAAGGTGCTTTCCAGCATAAATATATTGCTGAAACATAGATTAAACTTGTTGGACTTAGCTATAGGTTTGGAATGCCTGCTGATTGCAGAGATGCAGCATAGAATTTGCTCCAAGTTCGAAAGCCCACCCTGGACAATTTTAATGATCTGCCATAAGGCACCGAAGACAAAATACTTTCTTTTTGTTACGTGTAGCTGTAGGCATTGTACCAGTCATAGCACAGGGATTGTTTATTTATTGAACAGATCTGAAAGAAAAAGCAAATTGAAATTATTTTGCTAATAGATTCTTTACTGAAGAGTTACCTTTGTTTTCCATGTTTTAATGTATATAAAGAAAAAAAATCTTTAAAAAAATTGATCACTTATCCTCTGGTTCTGAGAATGAACTCTTATGCTAATAGCTAAGTGAGGAAAAGTGTTGGAGACTGCAGAGTCATAAACTTTAGGGCTCTGAGCCTGCTGCTAGAGACTGAGAGACTACTGAAGAAGAGTTTGGATTTTATATCCCACTTTATCACTACCCTAAGGAGTCTCAAAGCAGCTAACAATCTCCTTTCCCTTCCTCCCCCACAACAAACACTCTGTGAGGTGAGTGGGGCTGAGAGACTTCAGAGAAGTGTGACTAGACGAAGGTCACCCAGCAGCTGCATGTGGAGGAGTGGGGAATCAAACCTGGTTCCCCAGATTACGAGTATACCGCTCTTAACCACTACACCACACTGGCTCTCTGAGCCTGACTGACATGAGGAGCCCACAGAACAACGTTCCAAAATACCTGGGCCTCTGGAGCCAGAGCCAGGATCTTCATAGATGTCTTCCCTTCAGCCCAACAAACCAAATGTCTCTCACAGTCCTCTAAAGGTCCAGTAGCACAGGGAGCATGTACAGCAGAAGGTCATGAAACATAGCAGTAACTGTCTGCAGGCCAGAGGTTCTCCACAAGGGGACAGCACCTGGGAGGGGTAGTCTGGGGGCAGAAACTTAAATGGAATAAGGCAGTGTACATGTTCCTATTTGCTCTGAATCCACTGTGTTCCCACCACTGATTTGGGAAGTGGCGGACAACACAACATTTATCACAATCCATACCTATCCTGTATCTATCTTCTCATTTATTTTAAGAAAATAATACATTTTGATGCATTCCTCTCTGCCCCACCTCCAACCAGCTTCACTCTGAATTGCGGGGAAAATAATTACAGTGGAACCTTGGGTTACGTACCATCCCCCTTATGAACGCTTCAGTTAACGAGTTCCGTAAACCCAGAAGTAGATGCTCCTGGTTTTGAACTTTGCCCCAGGATGCGAGCAGAAGTCATGTACTGGCGGCAGCAGGAGGCCCCATTAGCGAAAGCGCGCCTCATGTTACAAATAGTTTTGGGTTAAGAACGGGCCTCCGCAACGAATTAAGTTCATAACCGGAAGTACCACTGTACCTAGTTGTGTTTTAAGCAGGTAATGTGTACACAGCCTTGGTTTGCTTTTGACTTTGGCTAGAACAAGTTGCTCACTTGGAGCTCTCCGTGGTGCTTAAACTCCTGACCTGCCACCTTTGCCCCATGGGCTCTTTCACCAGACCAGTGGAGAAACATTCATTTATTAATATTACAATTACTTCTGAAAAAAACTTGCTATTCTGTTATGTCCATTGATTTCCAACACACACACCTCTCCGGATCTGTTCTGTCTTGACACATGCCTCTTTTCCCCAGTATGGGTATTAAGAAAATGAAGTTTTACCCATAACTTTATGTCCATGCCAATTGTCACCTGAATATTTTCTGCACATCCTAATGTTGTTAAAGGAATCCAAACAGGGGCTGTGAATTCAAGAGTTACTCTACCATCCACTTCATCCATTCTTCTTCCTCACTACTCCACCAAACTCTCTGCTTATCCCCTTATCTCATAAAGCTTTTTTTCCCCTTTTGTTTTTACTGATCCCTGAACCTTTAACAGTCAAAATCTGGACCTGCAGTTGCATACATTTACATGAATTTTCACAAATGAGCAGCACAAACAATCAGTATGCATAGACTCAAATGTTGCTGGTAAAATGTGAATTCATGTCAAGAATTTGTATATAATCTGATCAATATGCAGTTTTCAGGTGGAAACTCTGTATTTTGGCAGAACTATGTACAAGATGTTAATGCTGCCTATTTGTGTACATTCTCCACTCCTTCATGTGAATGCACAGTCATCAGTATTTATGCACATTTTCTATTTGGCTCATGTTAACCACAAAATGTACATAATTTCTCCTGTATATTAGGTTTTAAAATGACTCAAAAGATTAGAAAATATTTGTGCGGTTGTATAGAAAAACATAGTTATTATCCTGTGTGTGTATATCTATCTATCTATCTATCTATCTATCTCTCTATCTATCTATCTATCTATCTATATACACACACACACACACAAAGTATTTGTAATTTTAAATTCATACTGCTCTCTAGTGGGGAATGCTTTCAATGCAGAAGATGCATGGATGTTGAAAAACAGAAACGGGCATGCTGATGTTATTTCATTATTTGCATTTAAGATTTATGCTTGTCCTCTTCCTAATAGTATTTTTGTAAGTCTTAGGGCCCCATCTGAACTGTACACCTGAAGCACTATGGTACTAGTTTGAACAGTCTTGGTTTCCCCCAAATAATTTTGGGAACTGTAGTTTGTTAAGGATGCTGATAGTTATTAGGAGGACCCTATTCCCCTCTCAGAGCTATAGTTCTCAGAGTTTGTTCACAGTTGATACCTCTTCCTGGGAAATTCTAGTGCTGATGTGGCTTAACCTTTTAATAAATAAATAAATATTCTTTTGACAGATGATCGCTCTTTTGTTCCTTCTTCCAGAGATAGTAGATACAGAATCCTTGCTGCCTTCCTCAGGGAATATTTGCTCTTTCGGCACTAGTTTAATCAGGGAAAAACACTCTGAGAAGTTCTTTATATACTTTCATTCCTTTTGGATTTTTATCCAGGCATTCTCGACTTTCTGATCTCTACCTACCTCATAGTTTCTCCACTGTCAGTTTTAGATTATAAACTCCTTGTGATCAGGAACTTTGTAAATTGATCATAGAGCTCCAGATGGCAACATGCACACTGGCATGTTATAAATAATAATAAAAAATAATTTTGCATTCTGCTCTTAATTCAACTTTTCAATAATTTTTACAGCCACCTTTTATAGTAATATAGAGGCATAGAAAATTACCTTATAGTGAGTCAGGCCATTGGTCTATCTAGTTCAGTATTGTCTACACCAGGGGTTGTCAACCTGGTCCCTACTGCCCACTAGTGGGCGTTTCAGGATTCTAGGTGGATGGTAGGGGGTTCTATGGTACAAGCTGAATTCTCCTTCCATTGAGCACTGGTAGGCGCTAAGGAAATTTTACCATCAAGAAAGATGCATTCGTGGGCGGTAGGTATAAAAAGGTTGACTACCCCTGGTCTACACTGACTGGAAGCAGTTCTCCAGGGTTTCGTATAGGAGCTTTCCCCAAGCCACTCTATAGATGCTGGGTACTGAAATGGGGACACAAAGCGTACAACTAAGCTATAGCATTTCCCCCATTTTGCAGATGGAAAGAGATATATTTTTCTGACATCATCTAAAAAATTCATGACTGATCTCAGAAATACAACATGATCCTGTTATGCTGAATCAGTAAAACCCATTGAATTCAGTGGGACTTACTTCTTGGTAAATGTGCATATCAAGGCAAATCTAGTAGTATAAATATTAACAACTGGGAAACACTGGCCTGTGAGCACTCTAGTTGGAGAATAGCCTCTACCAAAGGCGTGATGGATTTGAAGAAGCACGAACTCAGGACGAAAGGCAGAAACAAGCTAAGAGGAAGGCACGTTTGGCAAATCCTCACCATGTTCAACCCCCACCCAGAAACCTATGTCTCCACTGTGGAAGGACATGTGGATCTAAAATTGGCTTCCACAGTCACTTACAGACACACTGTTAAGACCTTATTGATGAAAGACAATCTTACTCGGCTATGAGTGATTGACAAAGAAGAAAGCAGAAGCATAAGTTTGCAGTTAAAGACCTTTAGAATATCTGGTTTAAGGGGTAGACCATTTTATTCCTTAACATTTTGCTTTTAGCTGGCCTATGATCTCTGTTCACCAAAATATCTGAAATCCTGGACACTAATGATACATGTTTTCATAAGCACAAATATAATTTGTGGTTTTTACCAGTTATGGTAAGTTGGCTAACTTAATTTTGGTGTCCTTCGTAAATGTTTTGTCTGAAGTAAGTGCCTCTTGTATGTTTAAGCAATGACTCAGAAAAAGCTCTGTCATATTTGTCTTTTCCAGTGTTTACTTCCTTTTCCTTTCCCACAAAGAAGCACATCAAAAATGGTGTTTGAAAATTCTATCTGTTAGATAGAATTCTATCTGTTTCAGTAATTCTCGGTATTAACACAGGCTCCATCTGTACTTCTCACAGTGTTTTATGTGTCCGAAAAGGGTTAATAGCTCCATTTTACACAGTATGTAACTCTGGTTACACTGATGTGAAATATTGTAACTTGTCCAAATTGTACAGCAATTTTCCAGCAGCGCTGCAGCTGGAGTCTGTCTTTGTTGCCTGCAACTTAACTTACCAGTTACTAAACTCTAACACTTTCATTTCTTGGGCCTTTATCCTGAAAATGTGCACAAATCACATTGTCTTCAGTATCGTAGCACATGCCTATGCTTTCAGGAGTATGGCCTTATTTCATAAAGAACTGCTAATTATTACTAGGGATTAGTACATTTTAAATTTCCCTGTTGGATTCTGAGTCTTTAAGATGCAATCACTTAATATTTTGAAGCATTTCCCTGCAGCTAATGAGATTTATGATTACCAAATGACAGCGTTGGGGAAAAACTCCAAATATCACAAGATCTACTGTGTTAGAATTGTAAAGTTTAGTGCACTACTGTGTGAAGTGTTTAAAATGCCATCCATTCTGTGCTATGCACATGTAAAGAGGAGGTTTGGGAGCCTTAAAAATGTATTAGATTTCTTGAATAAAGCAGAGTCTTGGGCTGCAATCCTTAAACCTGAAGTAAGTCCTATTGAACTTGGTGGTGCTTACTTCTGAGCAGACATATATAGGATCACACTGTGAGTAGTTCAAAGAAGTAATTAATTAGACTATCTTCAAATGTGAGTTAGATTAATAACCTTCAATGTCTGTAATTTTTGAATTCATTATTAGAAATCAGATTTCTCAATTTGTGATTTGGATGAAGACCTTTAAGCTGCTCCACATAGTGTTTTTTTTCTGTGATAGCTGTGGTTGAGTCTTTCCATACACTAGAGTTAGTGGAAGTAACAGAACTGACTGTGTCTTTTCTAACTACAAGCAATGGGTTCAATTTTTAATGATCTTCTATTTTAAATAAACTCACTGTAAAGAGAATACTAAGCCATCAAGGGAAAATGGAAGCAGTCAAAAATATGATTCCCCACCAGATCTGAAATTGTATCTTTATATGTGTAGAAGGGACTTCACTGTTTGGCCCCCCTATGGCATGTTGATTTTTCTGACGTTAGGGCCAGGGAGCCACACTAACCAGCCAACCAGGCATTGCTAATACCATGTGAGAAACACAACCTTGCTCCATTGACATTAAGTGCAGACCACAAAATTTCCACAGGATGAAAGTGCTAGATGCGCGGTACACACATCACTCATAGTTTTCTCTTTTGTTTATCTTAGAAACTATGAAGAAACCCTGGAGTCCTAATCCATCTCAAGACAATGTACCGTATACTGCAAATTTCACATGTTTTCATGAAAGAGAAGGCGAGGCAGACCTGACACCTGATGACAGTGAGGAAAAGAAAGAAAGAGAGAAGAAACACAGCAGTTTTACTTTGTGCAATGTGTGCAACATTCAGCTGAACTCTGCTGCTCAGGCACAGATCCACTACAATGGGAAATCACATCAGAAAAGATTAAAGCAGCTCAGCAACGGGAATCCAAAAACTGATAATGGTAAGTTATTTGGTATATTCTGTCTTGGCTATGAGATTAATGTGTGAAAGTGCATCAGGTATGCTTTTGAAGTGGTGCTTGAGTCCTTTTTAAAAAGTGGGCAGTGGGTGGTTCCACTTTGGCTAAGCCATTTTTGATGTCTTGCATAATTTAGAAGAGTAAGGTAAAGGTAAAGGGACCCCTGACCATTAGGTCCCGTCACGAATGACTCTGGGGTTGCGGCTCTCATCTCGCATGTGGCCAGCATGACTAAGCTGCTTCTGGCAAACCAGAGCAGTGTACAGAAATGCCGTTTATCTTCCTGCCGAAACGGTACCTATTTATCTACTTGCACTTTGACGTGCTTTCGAACTGCTAGGTGGGCAGGAGCAGGGACTGAGCAACTGGAGCTCACCCCGTCGCGGGGATTTGAATCGCTGACCTTCTGATCGGCAAGTCCTAGGCTGTGTGGTTTAGACCACAGTAGTGTAAAGTTAAATATTAGATCTTAAACATTTCAGAAATATTAAGATTTGGATTTAAGAGTAGAAGCTATGGTTCAAATTATTATTAAATATTCATTAGTGTGGCTTTGATGACATATCTGCTATGCCTGATCTGTAAGCTATGAGCTTGTTTGAATAATATTTGGCAACCATTATTCAAGCTTGTGAAGTCTACAGGCCAGACTACTACAGTCACTATTGGTGGATATAGACTAAATTCTGTTCATGGAAATTGATAGTCAATTAAATTATATCAGGAAGGGTTGCTCTGGTGAGTGAGATAATGCACAGATGGTAAGAGATTTGTTTGTCGTCAGGGAAGTTGTCAGATAGCCAGACTGATTGGCTATGTGCAGAGTGAAGTCATAACCACATGGCCCATGGTAACATGTGTTGAAGAAGCTTTTCCAAGTTAAAAAGTGGTTCTGAAGCAGCAGAACGATAGCAGAAGAGTGGGTGAAAGCTGGCATGGAAAATAAATTAAAAAATAAATAGTAGGTTTTCATGTGGGTGAACCCCTTTCCCCCTACCTAGATCATTAACCTTGGTACTGAAAATAAACCATTGTGAATATTCAGCCTACTACTGAATAATTTTAATATCTTGTGAAGGGCTCAATTTGGCAAGTCTTCATCCATTTAGCAGTCCATAATCATGGGCTTGAAATCCTGACATGGGTTGTTAACTTTTTCGCTACCCACAGAATCAAAGTTTGAGGCCCTTTGCAAGTAGTCCTCTCCTTGTGTTATGCCTTATTCCGACAGAACTGATCTTTAATTGCATAATTTTGAAACAACTGATGCTTAATCAGTATCCACCTTTGTAGTACTAACCTGAAGATGTTTGTAAATTAGATAATTGCATTTTAAAAATCTGTAAACTGGATGTGATTATTCATTTTTGAATAGCCACGATTTAGCTGTTTTATGAAGGAGCAACCGTAAAATATTAGTTTTGTGGGCATTTTCCTAAAAGCCGCACACCAGCAGCCACAGGGGAAAATGTCAGGTCTTCTTGGAGCAGTGAAGTGTAGCCACCATCTGTTCTAGAACACATTTGCTTCTATCTAAGTGCTCAACCTTCTCTGTTGTCTTTTCAGATGTTTACTTATGTGCTTTTGAAACTAACGCTCTATGGCAGCTTTGTTGATGCGATTGTTCCTTTTTCTGTTTCTGATGTGAATTATTTCCACACAACATGGAACGCTCGGGTGGGGTTTGTAACATGGGATAGTAAACACTGAGAAATGATTAATGGGAATCAGCAGCCTTTGTCAAAGTTGCAACGGACCACTGGAAAAAGAAGAAATAAGCTCTGATACAATGTCTGTCCTTCTCGTTAGGTGAGTATTTGTTAGTCTACTTGCTAGGTGCCTGTTTGAGAAAAAGTCTGAGCCAAATTACTCTCTAGGTATTAGAGAGCTCATTGCAGCACAATGAGACAAAAAGTATAATTTACTATATTGGATCACGCTAGAACTAATCTAGCTCCCAGTTTACTGCTTAAAAATATTTGGGGGCATAATTCCTATTGGAATTATGGGGTGAATGGCAGCCACCCATTTCCTCCCCCACTCCCCCTCCCATTTTGTTGCCTGTGAGTGGGGCAGCAAAATAGAATGAGTGGTTTTCAGGTCAGCCTTGGAATAGATTCAATAAGTTTTTGGAATGTTTTCTGCAGTGTCAAAAACTATCCTCTTCTGATTTTGTAGCAACGTCTGCAGAAACGTTTGCTCCATCATTTACGCTGATTTCTGGCTTTGTTTATCCTCACTGACATCATCATGTCCCAGTTATAATTCTTAGGTGGTGATCTTTGCTAAATGATCCCTTCTTAGCTCAGGTCACATACTGTACTTTACTTGACTAATGCAAGAAGAAGTCAGCAACGAGAAACAAAAGCCGCTGAAGCAGAAGCAGTTAGCAAAAACAATGGCAGTGGATGGGATTGAGGGGTGAAATCGAATATGTTCAAAACTAACGAGTTCTTTATCCATAACTGAACATTCTAAAATTTGCAGGAGATACTTTTACTCATTTTCAGCTTGATAATTGAAATGGGTAAAATATTTGCTCTAACCCTAGCTCGGACATAAAGGGCCATATTTGACTATTAGACCTAAGAGTCTATGGACCCATTCATTTCAATGGGTCTATTCTGCACTAGCATTGGATACAACCCCACAACATTTTATTAGAGTTGCTTGGATGATACAAAATCTCACAGTGGCAGGTGTACATCGTTTTGGAGGCAAATGGGCATCTGCACCTGAGTGTGAAAAATATCCTGCCTTTAGCATAAACCACATTTTAGCAAGTGGGGGACTGCTAAGGCAAGAACAAAATTGTTTTTCTGCCAATGATATAAATTAGTTAGTAGAAAATATTGATATAGGGAGGATCAGGCAAAAGTACTGCGTGTTTACCATGGCTTTTCAAAGTCTATTGGCTATAGCTTTGTTTCTGTGAAATCTTAGTGCATTCTCAGTATCACAGATGTTTAGCTTTACTTTATTTTCCATGTGCACTAAACTCCTCCACTTTCTCGTAGGGAGGAAAAGAATACAAGTGTCATGGGCATAAGGTTGTATATTTGGGTCTGCAGAAGGAACCAAGCATCTTGCCCAGGGAGTATCCTAAGCATGCTGAGCTTGCTGCTCCTTTGCTGTATAGTGGGCATGGGATACTTTTGGCTCTCCAGAGGTTGTTGGATTACAGCTCCCATCTTCCCTAACCACTGGATTTCTTGGCTAATCCTGATGGGGGTTTAAGTCTGGAGGGCCACATGTTACCCATCCCTACTCTATGGTCCAGTGGTGAACCACTAGGTAGTATGGAGAAGACCCCGTTGCTTTGCAACACAGTGGGTCACTGGCACTTATTGAGAGTGGGTGGGTGAGCCAAAGAGAGCTTGGTCCGATACAGTACATGGTGGAAGGAGCATCAGATGGGCTTCACTGGCATGTGTTCCATTGGCCAGTCTTCCTGTATCTCACCCTTGCCCATTTCCCTCTTGGTAAGGTCATGCCCACCTAGCAGTTTGAAAGCACGTCAAGTGCAAGTAGATAAATAGGTACCACTCCGGCGGGAAGGTAAACGGCATTTCCGTGCACTGCTCTGGTTCGCCAGAAGCAGCTTAGTCATGCTGACCACATGACCCAGAAGCTGCCTGCGGACAAACGCCGGCTCCCTCAGCGAGATGAGCGCCGCAACCCCAGAGTCGTCTGCGACTGGACCTAATGGTCAGGGGTCCCTTTACCTTTACCTTTAAGCACCAGCATAACCTGCTGTGTTGGGAAGCTGGTAAAACAATGGTGCCCCACCCATGCTGCCTCACCGGCCACTGTTACTATGGTCTAAAGAACTGTGGCAATTATATTCTCTTCTATTTATGCCTTTCAAAATATAATTGCTATGTGCTGGCATACCTCTGGGTACAGCAGACATCAGCGTTGTGTAAGTGGTGCACATAAGCTTTGTAGCTTTCTTGTTTGCTGCCCTGCCTCTCTTCTCTGGTCCACTCCTTGGGCATATAAAAAAGCTGTGCCCAGTTTCTGCTCTCAGTCGGAGCTCGGTCCTCTTGCTTATCCTAAATGTGCCACCTTCAGTGTTCTCTCCATATTTTTCCGACTTCAGATATTTGTGCTGACAGCTCTGTGCTGAACAGTCTCTTCTAATTTTATCTGCCACAGTGTTGTACTTCAGTTTCTCCTTTTTTAAATACACTTGTTCTGCAAATGCTCAGAAACTCCCTCCACATGCCAAAACTGTTTTAGAAATCTAAGAACTTCTGCTGCAGTGGGACGGAACTGAATTGTCTGTGAAACTTAAGATGAACAACTTGTGACTTGCCAAGCATAGAGATGTCTATCAAAAACCCAATAACTCGGTTTTATAGATCTCACCCGTGGCCAAAGGAAAGGTTGCATTCCAACTTCATGTGCCACATGAAGGTTAAAGAAGGTCTAGTATGCTTCATTTTGCCCTAAGTGTAGCACCAGGAGTGTTTCTGAGTGGGTGCTGGGGGTGACAGCTGCACTCACTGCTTTAACTCTTTAAATTATTCTAGTATGGCTGGCATGACATCTGCTCTAATTCTACTTGTCTCATTGGCTTCATAATATATGTCATGATTATGGTTTCCCTACAGTTTCTGAAGGTAGCCTGCCTGCCTTTTAATGAGGGCATATTTTTCTGCCTTGACATTTTGTGTGTAATAGATTGGATGAAAACAATTACCAACTTTGTTCCTTTATCACTTGAAC